AACAAGCTATTCGACATGGCATTCTGACTTTACAAGCTGTCTAGAATCACATATCTTAATACTAGGCGAGATAGAATATAGACATAACTGTCTATGATAAAGTTTACTTGCTACTTGGATTGTATCAGATCCAGGTAAATAGTAGTATTACATTTAGTGCTCAGTGTTCATATATGAATGTGTATTTGCCTGGATATTGTCTAAGCGAGCCAAAGTGAGCCAAAGTGAGGGCCCCAAAAGAGGTTTAAAGACTTCCCAGAGAATCTGTACAATATCACAAGACTAGAGTTGGACCAAAGACCAAAGAGGTTGATGCAAGCCGTGGCCTACAATTATTATACCGCATGAACCTCATCTCAGACGACTACTCTTATATAGGCACACTCTCGGTAAGTTGTTAACACCTGAACTTTATTATCAGATTCTTCTTTATAGCAGCATGAAAGCATTCTGCCAAGCGTAGGAAGTAGGAGATTTCGATCCTGGCACATTCAAACAGCGACACATGCCTCTTCATACTAGTATCACTTCTAAGGCAATTTACCCGTTTTCTTGCTATTACTATAAGAATAGCTATAAATTAGCCGTTATATCCATACCGGTGTATCCCTGAGGATATATGCCAATATCCGTCCGGGCCGCCCCCACACTCCACTCTACTTGATACGGCCGGCGTGACTTCCACGGACACAGCCAATCAATAAGATCATGCCGTTATTTAGCTTTGCAGCTTCCCCATCGGCGTGGCTTCTATACTCAGGTGCTATCCATTCATAGGCTCGTGCTATTATTAAGCTTTGTTGGCGCCACTTCCATGAAACATGTGCCCATTCACGAGATCCTGTCTTTATCTAACTTAGTAGACTTCCTATCGTTGTTTCCTTCAAGGCATGGCTACTCCCATCGTTTGAGGCATTTGCCGTCCCTTCTAGTTAGATATATACAGCTTACACAACTGGCTAGTGAATGGTTCAAGATACACACTCAACGCTCTTCCCTTAAGATATACCAGTCATCATCCTTGCCCCTGAATATGCTGAGCTGTAGCCAGTCATCGTTAAGACTATTGGATACTTGCCCTCTTCGTTCCTACTCCAGGAGAAACTTGCTCGCCGTTACCATAAGACAGACCCGTACGCAGGCGGCGATTTCCCTATCGATTCTCCTGACCACAGAGACATCTGGAGCAAAGAGCTCCTGGCTACTTAATATCAATTCTTAGTCCACTCTTACTTAGGAGGTAAGTTCCTAGTTCCTTGCTCTTCAACAATCGAGCCACCTGGGTACGGATGTTCTCACTTCTTGCGTGCATTCTCACGTTACTAGCAGGACAACTGAGATCGTCAGGGCGATTCATCTACTTAGCAACAAATCGCCCTAGAGATTGATTTAATTCCTTGGAAGGTACTCCCAGATTCTTTTCTATTCCACACAAGTTCCTCTTCTATTTAATCCCACCCTTCTCCCAACTCAGCCCCAGAAATTCAAAAGTTCCTTCTTCATCCTCATCCCAACCCTCTAACCTAACCTAACCTAATACAATAAATTATCCTCTTCAACATTAACTACACTAACTTGTCGTCAAATTATTTAATAAATACTTTACCCTAATACACTCCTAGATACCTACCATACTATTGGACTCCTCTGCACGTTGCTGTAAGCATAGGAAGAGGCGATATCGTTAACCTCTTGCTCCAATACAAAGCTAAGATCTACATCCTTTCTAGAGGATTTTGCAACTGTCTCCTCCCAAACAAGGGACTGACATTCAAAGCAAAGAACTACATTCAACCTACCTGGATGCCTCTTCATACCGCAATCTGCCACAGCAGTCGACTATACTTCTGGGTTTCAAGGTTAGTATTTCCCTTGTATCTATGCCTAGTGATACCTCCCCATTGAATCAGAAAATTTGTTGGCATACTACCACCACTACCATCATCATCATCATCATCATTACACCTCTGCACACAAACACGCACACAAACACGCGCACAAACACGCGCACAAACACGCGCACAAACACAAACCAATCTCCACAGCAATCTCCTTCCATCACCAAACACCTTACCACAACTACACCTCCCCATCATTTACCTATGACCGCATAATTTGTTTTCCAGTTCCCCTTTATGATCATACTGTTTTAGGGAGAAAACATTTGGTTGTGGTGATGTGGAAATGACACAGCCAAACTGAACAGCTAACACATCATAGATCCAGGTACCTATAACTATCCTAAAGCCGTACCTATTTGTCTTGGATCTTGCGAATCAGTATCCATCATCCATCACTCTCAAAGATACCTCCACTTAGCTATTAGCTAGATCTGACTGGGCATCTTGAATGGTGTTGCAAGGGCTTCTATATGGGTAAGTGCAACTTTTTCGCTCCATTTGATGTATAATACCAACATTCCCCTCTCACAAGAATTACTACGAATGACTCCCGAGTTGTTTCGATTTAATTAGCTAACCAACACACGAATAGTCAATAAGAAACCATGAAAATATATTCTTCGAAAAGCCCAGACTACCCGAAACCGAGACCCTGTTGTCCTCCTCATTTATCAACTCAGAATGAGAGGCGATAGCTTCATGTCTCCATTATGCACGACCCTATTCTATCGTCCACCGTCAAAAAGAAAAGTCGCAAATCCTCTAAACTCACTATTCAAACCGCCTGGTATTCGATATTATCTATAGTTTTAACCCTAGAGTAATTTCTTACCGAACTCATCAAGGTCGAGATCGGCCCCACCGTTATCTAAGGAGACTCCTGGTTGTTGTCTCTCTACCTAATATGATCACATAGCCCTTCGATCACCAACGTCACTCCACCAAGCATTAAAATATCCTAACTAAAGAAATCAACAACCGCCTAAAATTGGATTATCCACTCTCCGCTATCTTCTACAACGAGCTATACCTATATTACTTGCTGGCCTTCTACCGATATGTGCTGCCAAAGCAATACGGGCCATTTGACAGGTTGATGTTTCATTCTTTATCGTAATTAAGCAAAGAAATTATTCCACCAACTAAGAACGGCTATGCACCACCGACTCATAGTCTTATTACACTATGAAAGATGCGGCCCAGTGTGCGAACCAAGCTCTCGGAGCATATCAACCTATACTCAGCCGGGGTACAGGTTGTGATGACTCAGAAGAGAATAAATGGCTACAAGTCCAGCCATAATCTACAGTATACATAATGCGAGGATCACACTTGAAGTCTCTCACTTCCCTAAGACTAGATACAAGGCCGTATGAAACGATCACGGAGGAGAGAGCTGAATGTTACGAGATGGAGCAAGAAGCATGGAAACGAAGAGGTTTTCCCGCAAGGAACTAAACTACCTACTATGAGAGCCCGCGGCTATACATACCGAAAGTATTCGTTATTCCGGATGTCCCATCTAGAATCCTAAAACCGACTATGAAACCCTCCGCAAGCGAATCTTAGCGCAGACCAAGCGGATCCACGAGCTCTAAATCAGCGACACTTTATAAAGCAATGCTGCATTGCAAGAAGATACCCCAAGGAAAGCATGAATCTCCAAATTGAGGAGATTGCCGTAATCCTGTTGTTGTAGTTGTCACGAAGTGGATCAAGAAGCATGGAAGCATGGAAGCAAACTTCGCTGTTCCGCGAGGAACTCTAACCTATCTAAACTACAAAAGCCAATCTACTCAGCCTTCTACAAAAGCTACTTTAAAGAAGACTCAGGTTTCACGAAAGAATACTGTTAAATCTACTAAGAAGGACAGTACCTCCACAGACCCTAAGTACTCCTCTTCAACCTCGAACAACCTTAGTTCCGAGACAGAGACTCCAAGCCCAAAGCTTAAGCCCAAGCCGCAACACTTCACTAAATTTATCCTTTGTCTTAGATGTCTCATCTAGGATCCCAATAGCAGTAAGTTCTCCCGAACTCATAGGAGCTGCCTTACATTATTGTGCGTGTAGACTGACTTTTTTATTAGGATGAGCTTGGATTCATTTTATGCCAACAACTCTCTCATGTCTATCGAGATACCAGCGATGATACTTCTGCTTGGGGGGCTACAACCATCAACTACCTAAACAACAATTCTTAAAGTAATACTATTGCTATATTCCAGCAAAAGACATTAGATATGCATTGTTAGCCGATGGCTAAGCTTATCGCAAAATATCGGGAGATACCTATCCTGTATCTGCTGAGGGTGATATCGCCGATACTGTCTTCTATCTCCACCTAAACCAAGGCGCTGGTCTCATAGGTGGATGATAATTTCATGCCCTCTGGACGTTAACAATTTAATCATCATCATTATTATTCAGACCTCGAGTGTCACGCGGTGGAGCAAGAAGCAAGGAAACAACTTCGTTGTTCCGCGAGGAATTCTAAGCTAGCTACGGGAACCTAGGGCTATACATACTGGCGGTGTCCTTTGTTCTAGATGTATCATCGAGAATCCTGACGCTTTGCACTGAAATTCATGGAGGAAACAATGTCAGACCCACTCGTATAATTATACGGTAGAGCGTTCCAAAACTCGCATCTTTCTTGTTGATTTTAGGTGTAGCACCTAGTTCAACTTCAATGTACATATCCTTTTATACTTAAATCACCGGGAGCGCGACTATGGCTGGTTGGATGACTGAGGTACAGAAGCAGAACTGGTGGTCGTCCGTCATGATGGGATTGTGTAGCAAGGGGAGGTTGACAGGATCCGCTTCATGATGTGGAATTATTATTACGAGGTAGACATAGATGGCATGGCAACAGCTTTGTTGTTCAGCAAGGAACTCAAATCTGAGGTACTACTTATGAGAATACTCGTCTATGGCGCCGACATCTAAGAGTAGTTGTTTGAAGGGCTGAGATGACGTTGAATATGAAATTATTGGTGACAATTTCCCGATACTGTGATAAGTACTGTAGTAATACATATATAAAAGTCAGTGATAACCTTATAAAGAGATGTGGAATACAATTTCGATTTCCCCGTCTCGGCCGATTAGATAAGAAGAAGAGGTGGGGATGATGCCCCGCCTAGACTAGCCCAATATAACGATAGCTGCTGGAACCACTGGTCCACCGCCACGCTGCTGCTACCAAGGTCGCGGAGCGATGCACGCCATGGGGGCCGGCTGTGCCTTACTGTGTACACCTTCTCTTTATTCCGCTAGGACACAGTGACCGACTTACCGACCTTATGACAAACCACCTCGTGATCTTTCCGTTTTATCCAACCTCCCTCAACTAAACAACGACAAATAAGGAATAAGGTCCCGACGTGATTCTTTTCTTCCTAGCGAAAAAACAACAGCAATAACAACAAGAAACTCTCCGATACCCCCGATATTCTCCTGCGAACCGGAACTTTTAGTACATTCTACTGTACTCGATCTCCTCAGTCAAGATGGTGGTATGTTTCCCCTTACGCACATAATCAATCTCCTTATGCGAGAGCATCGGTTCTTCCCTCTGCCCTGCGAAGCTCTTGAAGAAAGGCAAAAGGCTGTCGCTCCGTTGCTATGGGAACTGCTGTTTATATCTCTCTTGTACTTGCTTTCTTGCTTGCTCTACTTCGCGACGACGCTGATCTCTGATCGATGTGTCTTCTTCCCGACAGTTTCTCAACTTGCTGACATTTGGCCTCTGGGGAAAGCTTGGACGACTCACTCACTACGCCGTGGATGCGGTTCTCAGTATGCGCTCCCTTCCCTTTTCTTCTTCCTCTCTACTCTATCTATCTATCTAGGTCTCCAGTGGAAGCAACTAGCTAACCCGATCCGCAGTCTCGACTATCCTCGCGGGCATGAGGCGCTCGACCGGCCTAACGTGAGTACCTAAATACATACATACATGCATACATACCATACCATACACCTATCTCCATGTCATCCGATCGTATGATTGCAGCGCGGCTATATCGCGGGGAAACTGCCAAGGCGGGAGAGGCTGAAATGAAAAAGCAACCGCGACGATAAATGGGTTTTTTTTTATAGGGAATAGAAGGCTGATCTGATCATCCGCAGTTTCAACACCGAGCGCGTGACTGTCGGCGAGACTAAAGAGGCCAATAAGTGGATAGAAAAGTACCTGGGCGTCGGCGAATGGGTCATGGATCAGTCCGTCGCGATAGCCGGGTCCAGCGGCTGGTTCCAGCGGACCCGATGAGCGGTTGGTTAATTAGTTACGAGACGAGGAGGGTTGGGGATAACGTGCGATATATCTATGACTGGAAATCGATCCGCTTGAACCGTCATCGCCGTTACGATTCTTCTTGGCGAGACGCCTATCCGAGGCCGGTTACCCCTATCGCCGATGCATCACCACCACCACCACCCCTCCACCTCGAACCGGACCCGTACTCGATTGGATTTTCCTTCCCCCTCTTTCACGAACAGGCGTTGTTGTTGTTGGGTCCATATATCCATTTGATGAAAGTTTCTTACTGCTACCATGATAGATGAAAGGAATGAAATGCTTGCTTTTGCTTGCTTCACTTGGTCACTACTCCATGCGTAAGGCGACAGTTGTCGCGACCGCATTACGTTATATAAAAATATAAAGCTATAGTCTTATTTGCGAGCAACGTTTTGTCCCTTTCGTGCCGTTATAGCTTTTCTCCTAGGTGATCTGCCTAACAGTCGCCTGTGTTTCGCATATACTACTACTCAGTAAACCCCCTTTAACTCGACTCGAGCATCTTAAGTAGGCGGATTGAGAATACACTGATAATCGTAATAAACTTCTCATTCGTAAAATAGGAGTATCTACCCCCAACGCTACTCTCCTAATATGCTATACCACAATACCTATGGTATACGCATCTAACCCCTGAACTCCGCTGGATCCCATCACGACCATGTAGTCCGCAATGTAATCCCGTGTACTAACTAATCAGATAAGTAATTCCTCTACACCCAACGCCAAGCAGACGACGCCACGCTGTATTCATAGCTCTATATCCCACCCTCATAAGCATTAATCGCTGTATTCATGACTCGTATTCATGATCGCATCACATACATACACACAATGATCTCGATAGTCGTGTAGACTAATCAACGACGTCGTCATCTCTGCGGCTTTCAGAGAGCAGATCCGGCGGGATCTGGTTATCATCCTCGTCCTCAATCTCGCTGCTCTCCCTCCTGAGACGGCTGCGGTTAGGCGTAGGTATGTCTTTCTTAACCCGGCTCTGCGGGGGGCTATGCATGGACAAGAACTCGACGGGAATATCATTGTGGCTCTCATCCTCGCTCTCGTGATGTGGTTCTTCGCTCAGTAATCCCGGCGGCACCTCATTATCGCTCTCGTCGCGGTGCGCGGCGCCGAGCAGGTCTGCAGGGGGGCTGCTTAGTTGCTGCGCGTCGGGATTGTCCCAGCGCCGGACCACGCTACGGCTAAGTTCCTCGTCCTCGTCCGGTTCTGAGGAACGCGGTTCGATATCCGATGTCCCGTTTTCCCGCACGTCGACGAGGTCGTTGCTGCCGGCAGATGTAACTGGTGTGATTATGCCGTCGTCGTACCCAGAGCTGCGGATTATTTCCGCGAGGAATTCCTTGATACCCTCAAAGTGTGCTAGTTCAGCGCCGATGGCGGCAATTAGGAGGTTCCAGCCGCGGGACTCGACATAATCGTGCTGCCTCTGGATTTCACGCAAGGTCTCCTTGAGGACCTTGTACTGGTCTCGCAGAATAGATGCCGGGTCGCCAGATTCAAGATTCTGCTGCTGCTTAGTGGCATCTTGCAGCGATTGGTTTAATTGAGTCTCGAAATCGACAAGCATGGTGAGAACCTGCTGCCATATTTCGCTACCCTCTTCCAGCGCAGCCCGTTCCCTGTCAACGACAGTTTTGCGCTGCTCGAGCACGGCGACTTCGCCTTCCCACCAATCCTTCGCCATTTCCGCCGTTCGTCTCTCTGGTCGCAGAGAAAGGAAATCGACGCCAGACACATGTTTCGACATGAGCGCGGCCAAATCCTCGCCGCCCTGTTCCTTCAAATCCTCGACTTCAAGCACTTGTACGCCTGGGTATTTCATCAGCTCAGAAATGCCCTGTTCGCACTGCTTCAGGGCGCCCTTGTACCCGCTAAGGCTGGCTTCTCGGGTACTCCTGGCCTCCTCAAGTTTTCTTTCTAGGCTGGCTTTCGTTCTCCTCAACAGTCTGAGCTTTTCCTCGAGCTTCTCGATATTAGCACATACCGTGCGGTGTTGACTCTCCATTGTCGCTATTTCGGTCTCGATCGGCGTCTCGTTATCTTCTTCTAAAGCCTTCAAATCGGCCGTGATAGATTTACGCTGCGACGATAGATTACGTAACCTTGACAAAGCGGCCTTCCGCTCAGCCAACGCGGTAGCGATATATGCATCTTCCTCATTCTTCAAGTCAGCCAACATGGTGACCGAGCGAGCGATACCGATACGGGCCTGTCGTTTCGACATAGGTCTTTTCTTGGGCTGGCGAACAGGCACGACGGAACCTTCGGATAGCTTTGTCTGAACGGAAGATGCCGTCATATCTGGAGATAATCCTTGCTTGGTGCCTTCGGGGGAAGTCTTTCCTGTATCATTCCCTTCAAGGTCTCGTTCTAGCGCAACACCTTGCGCATCTAGTAACTTCTGAAGTTCATTCTGTAGTTGGCGTTCCCGCCGCTGTAACATTTTGAAAGTGTTGTCAACGTCTGACTGTATCGTACGGTCTGCCGAACGATCAGGCCGTCCTTTGAATATACTCTCGACAAGAGACGTATGGGTACTAGTAGTAGCATGTCTACTATCGCGCGGCTCGGTGCGGATGGTTGGTCGCCAAATACCAGGCGGAACCTTAAGATCATTATTCGTAGGCTCACCCGAGTCGTCTAGGGAGCTGGGGGATCGAGATCGCGAATACTGCGGCCGACCTTGGTAGGCGAAGGCGATTGCCTTGCCTTTACCTTTGGAGCGAGAGGAAGCATTCATGTTTGGTGTATTTATCCCGGACCCGTTAGGAGTATCGGAAACGATGTCTCTGTAGGCGAGTATACGAGGAGAATCTGGGGAAAGGAACGCATCGTCAGGTCGGGGGGAGAGCTCAGAGAGGTCGTGTTCTTCTGCCTGGCGCCGCGGCGGGGAAGTATATAATGGTAAGAGAGCTGACATTCTGCCTTCACCAAGTCCTAGCTTCGATAGTAAAGTATTCCCAAAGCTCATGTTTGTCACCTCCGGCATATGTGGGCTCGGATAACGTTATGTTAGAATTCGATACTGGAAACTCTCTCTCGGTTGCATTTTGTTAAACAATAGACGCATGAACACCAGAGCAATTAAAACAATAGAGCGCCAAAGCAAAGAAGATCAGCTCTAATATGATATGTCACTACGATATGCGGGATGTTTCTAGGAATGTGGAGGAAGGTGATCTCAGCCCACGGTATCGATAGCTGGTAAGCTGCTTAGGTCAGGTAGTTAAAGTCATATCGATAAATGCTTTATCTGGTCTTTATCTGTCTATCTTTCAGGGAAAGTGACAGGGTCATAAGAGCTTGGCAGGTGCCGAGACGAGAGACATGCAGATTTAAAGATGTTTCTTATTGGTTCATTGCTGACATGGAACCAAACTATCATCCAATTACCAATCACATTAGGTAAGGTATTATTAGATATTATTTGTACATTTCCAAATGTCTGAACTTCAACTAATGCAACTTACCAAGACCTTGGTTCGCCGGTTTAAAATATCATCTGAAATACCTCCCTTTAGATAAAATATATTGGGTGACGTCGGAAATGTAACCAGGGAATAGACCGTTGTGACCTTGTCTGAAGATCCTCCGCATCATTTATTCCCCCCCTGTTCCGCCTCTCTACCCTTGTTCCCTTTCTTGTCATGCATCCAGGTTCTGAAACGATCTGTTCGAGATATTTGCCCAGTCACGAACTCGACTTGGACTATTCAGATATGACGATCTTCACTGGCTTGCACGAACAACCCTACGAATAAGTAAAGATACCTTCCTACAAGGTTGTCTCGGTGCTTTAGTCGTATCATATATCGATGTACCTTAATCCAAACGGAACGTGTCCTCGCTGCTTCAACCATGGATACCATGGATACCATGGATACTACGGATACCATGTAAGATCTAATTCCGTATCAGTGTTTTCTCATCCACATTTACGTGCATACGTCCATCTACATAGGGAACAAAAATATGGGATCTCTTCGTTGTTGGTGATCTCCGCATGGGGATCTCGAACCCAGTCGCCCTATCCCCTAATATAAATTATAATTGAGGTAGTAATTGAACACCAACTAGGTAGCGACCCTATTCACCCCATTATCTCCCCATACCATACCTTGCAGCCCGTCACCGACGCAACACTGGCAGCCACTGATCTACATATCTAATTCTCTAGTAGACCAGCTGTGAGTTGTTGCGGGGGGGGATAATTGATTGACTTCTTGGATGCCGGGAGACGATTTATCTAGTCGTGATCGCCACATCAACCTCGCGCGTCATTCACTCTTCCAACTGTTGCCAACCGGGTTTCGTTGCGCTGCCCCTCTTGAGTTGAACAGTTGAACAGTTGAACAGTTGTCAAGAGGTTCAATTCACTTGGTACTTGATCAACTGGTACCTTCCTTGCAGGTTATTTCCATTCAATTAATCCTCAGGGTCAGGTTAAATTTTACTTGTTTGCACCCGTCAATTCCTACAAACACCAAACATATTGTAGGAACCTCGCAAGCAACGCCAATCCTATAAAGTTTAGAACTCGACCATCTTACTACAGGATATTGAATTGGTTGTGATATTGTCAATCAACATGCTAGCGCCTCTTCTCTTGAACAAGGCGGGCGTCTTGCTCGCCGCATTGTCCAGCGTTGGTGTAGCTCTCGCCGGACCCGTGGATGTACGACAGGCAGCCAAGGTAAATAAACAAGAAATTCTACTACCTTAAGATATTTTATTCTAATATAGTCGCTAATATTTCATATAGGATGTCGTAGCTCGCGCAGCCGATGTCTCAACCGTCACAGGTTATGCTCATCCGTTGACGCTCACTGCTCTGTCTGCACTTCGCCCTGATCAGACACCCCTGTCTTACGCCTCGCCTCCTACGGCTATCACCGTTCCTACCAAACCACTACCGCCTGCCGGAGACAAGGCTGCCGAAGAAACTGGTGTCCAAGCTAAGGTAGCGGACGTCTCCGAGTCCGAACCCGCCGCGTCCCAGACCGACGCGCCAAGCGCAACTGCTGTCTGCACATCAATTGCTGGCACCTATCCCACGGCCACCATCCCCAACTTCTGCAACCCCTCGGCCCAGGTCAACGCACCCAGCTTCATCCCGAGCCGCACCGACATCCCCACCGCCACTGTCACCGTGGGCGCCGTGACTAACAAGCTCGACTGCTGCGTGCAGTGTGCCGGCATCTTCAACTGCGTCGCCTGGCGCTTCGTCCCCGTGTACACCCAGGCGCCCAACCCACACCTGCCCGGTGGTTTTGACCCTTGGGGCCGCGGTGACTGCGAGGCCGTCTACCACACGGGTAACCCGGATGACGAGACGAACACCGCGCACGACGACTCGGCGGCGAACCTGTGTCCCAACGGCAAGGTCGGCGAGCTACTGGCTAACAACGGTAGCGCTTCGACTAAGGCTACTGGCAGCTGGATGAATCTGTACTACAATGGCTGGAATGAGGGTCCCTGCGCTGAGCCCGTGGCGCCGTTTGATAGTGGCAAGGATGCGGGACGAGGAGATGAGGCGAATTTGTGTTCGTAGGTTGGAGAGTTATGCGATGGAAACTAGTTCGGTTACGATAGATGAATAGCTCGTAGTTTACGACAGTTATTTTTAATGCGATGATTTATCATTACACCTACCGTAATTCTATGGTTCGTGATCCGTTGTCTAAACGTAGGATGCTTCTCCAATATCATCATCCTTTATTATTAGGCTCATCCTTCCTACGGACATAAGTCACATGCTATCCTACGCGACTATGCTGGTCGAAGATTAAGACCCTTAGTATCATGCCGGTTAATTACTTAGTAGAGCTACCATAATTCTCATAACCCGAAAATAAGGATGTATTTTAATTATAATGCCTAGGATATAAATAGCACAGAGGGTATCTACCGAACAGCCCTACCAGACTATTGAAATAGTTTAGTGGTGTCCTCAATTTCTTTTTCATTCGTGCGGTTCTTTAGGCTAGAAGTGGGCGGTCTAGATCTTAAATGTACCTACCTATGCAGGACAGCTTCCTTTAGCAGATGAAGATAACTGTCATTCGGTTGGTAAGATAGATACCTGATGTAACGTGAGCAATAGATATTACATACATTGGAAGTGGTTTCTTGGGTAATGGTACTCTTATTGATTGATTGGGCACCTCTTTACTACATTTATGCTACGTTCTTAGACTACTTAGCCAGGAAGATCATAGAGAGCAAGGGCACCTTAGAATAACAGTTACTGCAGAATTCGAACTAATAATAGGTTTTATGGTTGAATCTTAAATCATATACTACGTCCGCAGCGCGGTGTAGATTACTAGACCTACGGATGAAATATGGTAATGTCGAAAAGGTAACTCCTCAAAGTCGCCGACCTTTGATAGGAAGCGTCTTTACGCCCAGCCTGAGTTGGTTAACCAGAGTCAGCTGAACTTACAAAAGAATTTAAGGCTTCTCCTTCACAAATGAAATCATATATATCGTAGACTAAAACATGTTAGTCTGTTGGAGGTTCTTTGGGGATTCACTTATACCTATCTCACATGAAGTTTTTAGATTATATTTCATACAGCTGGAGATATATACAAGAGAAGGAAATGCTACATCAAACTAATATAACCTCTGGCAGAGATGAGGCCTCTCATATGAGTAGATATTTTCTTATGTTGACACCGGAACTTGATACGATATTTGACAAAGTAGACACCAGGTACATAATAGCATTCCCGTAGTAATTATGCTGTTAGATGAGGAAATGTACTCTCCAGCGGACCGTCAATGGCTACTATGCCGCGGGTGCCTTTCTGAGGCACGATTATCGAACATCATTGATCTCACATCCATATACCTAACCGAGGTGAGAAACTTAGGTAGAGGTAAGTGACTAAGCGGGCTCTGGGAGGGGGGTAGCGCTATTCTTTAACCATCTTCACATATATTTCTAGCCGGTAATGGGCGATCCTTTTATGGATTCAAGATACCCTCAGTCTATTAGTGGTAAAGCCTTTGTAAGTCTATGAGCTGGCACGCCGAGCTGCAATGCATGCAGAGCCGACCCCGCAATCTCTGACGTAACTAGAATAGTGATGACCGGATACATAAACCATTTATACACTTGTAATAAGCTCCCTTGTGTCTATATCATTGCCTATATTATTGCCATCAGATTTATATGCCAAGGTGACAACCGAGAGATCCGACTTGAGAGCAAGAACCCTCCCCCAGATATTGCTGGGTGACGGTTCCCCGCGTTCCCTAACGGCCCCTCCTCCGTCTCTATCTCAAATCCCGGCGGCGTCCCGGGCCCAGGAAAGATTCCGTGTAACCGGAAACGCCATCGTTACTGGCGGAGCCGGCGACTTGGGGTTTGCAGCGAGTCGCGCTCTTCTCGAGCATGGCGTAGAAGGGCTCATGATCTTCGACATGAACCCGACGGAAGCACAAGCCAAGGTCGATTTGCTCAGCTCCGAATTCCCGGGTGCCAAGATTCAGTTCCTGGAAGTTGATGTGACGGATGAAGACGGAGTAGATGCAGCTGTGGGAGAGACGATCAAGCTATTCGGGAGCATCAGTACCTTGGTGAGCTTTGCTGGAATGGTTGCCTGTGGACACGCTCTGGATTGGTCGGCGAAGGACTGGAATAGAGTAATCAATGTCAACACAATTGGCGGATTCCTTGTTGCTCGTGCGGTCGCTCGGACTATGATAGAACACGAAATCGGAGGGAGTATGACGTTTATAGCGAGTATGTCAGCACATAGAGTCAACTTTCCTCAGCCGGTATGTAATATCATGTTCCATGCCCCCTCCAAGCCATATTTTATCACCCGAACCGACTCTTATTATTACAGCAAGTATCTTATAACGTCTCAAAAGCTGGAGTTGTAGCTATGGTGAAGTCATTGGCTGCAGAGTGGGCAAGGTACGGAATTAGAGTAAACAGTATTTCCCCGGGATATATGGACACCATATTAAATGAAGGGGATGGCCTAGACGAAGCGAGAAAGATGTGGCTTAGTCGAAATCCATTGGGAAGAATGGGCCAGCCCGATGAACTAACCGGGGCTGTTGTGATGCTCGCAAGTCGTGCTGGGAGCTATTTCAACGGTTCAGATCTGCTGATGGACGGAGGACAGACGCTCTTCATGTAATAGCTGTGGTCGATTACACTCTCAAGTCTGTACACTCTAGGTGAGAGCCAGAGCTTTACATTAAGTATGAGACTCGGCCTTGAGCTTTCGTATAGCTGTGCTGCTTATCTTCGTGGCAAAGCTTTGCGTGTCCGCCGACTTATGCACGATCCCCTCAGCATCGAGGACGTCGACTTCAAATATTTCTAGCTCTCGCCAGCCGAGTTCTTTTCGTTTTTCATTTACCGCACTTCCCCCGCTTCTCGTCTCTCCCGAAACTACGAGAGCATCCATATTTTCAGTTGTGATGGTAGGACCAAAAGCATCTTGGATGACCACGCAGCGAACTTCGATAGTGTCGTTCCGGAATCGAGCAACGAGTTCATCATTTTCCTTGGACGCTTGTAGAGTCTGACCTCCTTTCCAGCCGTTCTTGGATAGCTCTAGTATGGAAGACAAAAATTCCATCGTATTCATAGCACGTTCGTCCCAAGATTGCACATATTCCGCATACTTCTTCCGCTTGAGTAATTCATCGCCGGTGATGCCAATGACGAATTTGCATGGGGTCGACGTGCCATCCTCAGGCACTTTTAGCAATAATACGGCAGCAGTCAAGAGCAGTTTGTGCCCAGGGTGTAAGTGATCAAAGGTTCCTCCTAAACATACGACCGAATGAGGGCTAGTCTGGGGGGATGACTCCGAAGGAACCGGTGGTCCAAGTGATACAGCAAGCCCACCATCCACAACAACTAGCTGGGACTGCTTTAAGGTCTGAATGCCCTCAAGAAGCTTGAGGTACGTTGAGAGTAATTGATAGCCTGGCTCGTTATTTGTATGGAATATGTATCTCCAAGGATGATAAGCTGCGGTGAAAGTTGCAAGATCGACTATTGCTGTATTATTCGGTTTTATGGCTGTCTTTAAATCAGCTGGGATTGGTTTAGATGTATCATGATCGATTAGAACGACCCGGGCGTCTACGGATCCAGGACCGGCATGAAGATCGGTTGGGATAGAAAGTTCAGCACAAATAACGGATATGATGCTGTATAGATCAGCTAGAATAGACTGGGCGTAAGGCCAAGAAAGCGATTTGTGTCGTGCAAATTTGCCTGTAAGAATTGGCGATGCCAGAGCAATGATCAAGACCGCTCCATCTTTTCCGCCTTTCTCGGATTTCAATCTTGAGAGAGCGGCCTTAAGCGGGGGCTCATACGCGGCGTTAAGAGCAAGCCGGGATGGAGGATGCGGAGGTGGGGGTAGCAGTAAGAGCGACGGGAGATCTGCCATGATGATGCTATTTATTTGTGTCATAAAGACGAGTATGTGACTTGAGTTGCTGATTTCAATAAGTTCTTGAGAGTAAATCTAAGGAGTTGGATATTGTGATGAATATATAAAAGAATTTGCCGACTAGAATAAGCTTTCTTGATGTCAATAGCGGTTTGTCTGAGTGGCGTGATGGTAAGCAAGAAGCCTTGAGCTAATTCCTTATGGTTATGGTTAAGAATTGCGGTTAAGAATTGGTAGTTAGTTAGATCAAGAGAATAAAGTTGAAAGAGTAAGAGAATAATTGTTGAGCTGTATTATAAACGCAAATGTAATACCATACCTAGAATAGGTAGACTATTGTGTTGAAGGATCAAGGCTTTGTTCTATAAGCGCTTCTGATTAATAAGATAACCTAGGTAAAAGGTAGGTAGATGTAGATGTATGGGTGAGATATATGCATGTGTGTTGCTCATGCCGTAAATCAGTGGATACATTATACATGTAGGTAGCTGTTTGATGGAGAAGCCGAATTGAAGCACCTGCGCGCTACTAAAGCTTATACCTTATGTACTTGGGTACATTGGTACTTTACTGGCAGCTGTCAATGTGGGATGTTTTCCGATATCAGGTGTTGGGCATGTATGTCCATGTCTCGGATTACTATTTAACTCTAAGTCCAAAGTCGAGTTTAGCTCATTCACTGCCGAATATTAACAGGAATAGATAATCTATGCCTTGCTTGAATGTCTGGATTAAGATACAATTCTAATATGTACCTACGGCTTTAGTGTATGTAAGGAGAGAAGTACCTTATCTTGTACCTTACGTTAGGTATGTACCTGGCATAATGTAAAAGCCGCGAACTTCAACAAGGAAATCGCTAACCTAGTGGCATGTACCTATACATGTACCTTAAAGTACCCAAGTACACAATGACCTAGGAAACAAGCGCTGGTGAGGGGAACCTTGCGGCAATACTCAGTAACTAAAGACGAAATCTTACCAAGGCATCGCATCCTGCCCAACCATCTCCACACTCGTTAGACGGTATCGTTTAACACCCTTCATTTGGAGATCAATTCCAATCGTATAAAATTACCTAACTTAAGTAACTACAAAAACAACTCCGGCCGCCAGTGTCAAAAGACATAGGCGCAAGGCGCATACGCAATCATTTTAGCACGACGCGACAAGGACTGATTGAATAGTTCTCTTCCTCATTATCTCATTATCTACCTCCCTCATCAACTGCGGCGACAACTCCAATTGCGACCAGCACCACCACCCGCGGTACATTTCGATACATACCCTGTTGTTCACTAAGTGGTAATCGCAAGAGCCCAACCGAGAATCGTCCCGCCCGACGTCGCGAATCTATTTTTGAGCAGGGGCGTGTCCCGGCTTTTGACTGCTATCGACTTTTCTACACTCTACTTGCGACATCTAATATTTGAAAATATTAGCAATCAATAGCCATTAAATAATATCGGCGTGAGCGTCGACAGGTCGAGCGACCACCTCCTTACTTCCGCCCCCTCCTGCGGTTTTTGCTCGTACTTGCATCCTTTGGCCGCAACACCGGCCAATAGCCGTTCGATCCAACCAGCATCTCGCAGCTCTGTCGCGGCTGCTAGCGCATCCAACATGAACCAGGCAAGCCAGTACGGAGCCGCCCCGAGACGAACTAATACATATGGCTCTCAGCATGATGAACTCCATATCTCTTCTGCTATGAGCCACAGCGGCCAAATCTCTCCGCGGGACTATACTACCGCCTCCGCTCCGCACATCCAGCTCGACCAACCCGCATCGCAACCCGTCAATCCTCAGTACCAAACTTCGGGTGTGCCCAACGTCCTTCAACCTGGAGGACTAGGCCCCGTTCGTCCCCCCGCTCTGAGTGCCAATACCGCACCTACCCTACCCACCATGTCCGGTGCCATACAACACTCTCCGAGCGAGTACGCTTCGCCGTCCAAGCCACCGACTTTGAGTTTATCAGCACACGGCTACTCTCGCTCTAGTCCTGCCGGTCCTTACGAGAATTCTTCTACCTCGTACTCCCCCTACACTCCTACCACCCCCGGAGGATCCAACCCCGGCTCATCACAGTACATGTCGCCGCAAGATCCTAAATATACCGCTCCCGGTTCTCAGCGAAACATCTCCAACACACCGCTCGGTCTAGCAGACATTCGACCTCGAGCCGACTCAAGTCTATCCGACGGCCCGCCCGGTACCCTAGGCTACGAGCTCGCCAATGTTCAACCCTCTACCAGCAATTACGTGGCTCCTTGGGCGCTATATGCATTCGACTGGTGCAAATGGGCTCCCCAAGGCAGGGGTGCCGGCAAGGTTGCCATTGGAAGCTATCTAGAAGATGGCCATAACTTTGTATGCTGACGACCCATAGCTCGAGCCTTAGCCTTAACCCATTCGTGACCACTGCTGACCCTGTTTATAGATTCAAATACTCGACACACAGGTTACCACTACCCCCTCCGATATATATACCCCCGGTTCGTCTAAGTATAGCATGGAATTTACCAAGGTTGCAGAAGCAACTCATTCATACCCCGTTACGCGCCTTCTGTGGGAACCTCCATCTTCCCAGAAGCAATCTACTGATCTCCTGGCTACTTCTGGCGATCATCTTCGGCTATGGTCCTTGCCGTCCGACGCCCAGTCATCTCATTCGAACAATATAACTAAGCCGAACCTGGGCGCACCCATAACGAAGCTTACACCATTGGCACTATTATCTAATTCGAAGACGCCAGACCACACGGCGCCTCTCACGTCGTTGGATTGGAACACCGTCTCGCCCAGTCTTATCATCACCTCCAGCATCGACACGACTTGCACTATCTGGGACATTCCGTCCCTAACAGCCAAGACGCAACTTATTGCTCACGATAAGGAAGTCTACGATGTTCGATTTTGTGCCAATAGTGTGGACGTGTTCGTTAGCTGTGGACAAGATGGGAGTGTGCGAATGTTTGACCTTCGCAGTTTGGAGCATAGTACTATTATCTATGAACCAACCGCCAAGGATGACCGAGGTAAGTTACTAGAATGATATTCTTAAAGATGACCATTTTAACCATATGACAGACGCGAATGGTGGAAGGATAAGCCCGACGCTGGCCCAGCAAACCATGTCTCACGCACCGCCTCTCCTGAGGTTGGCAACCTCGCCTCATGACACTTATCTCTTAGCTACGTTCGCCCAGGATTCCAATGTTATTCGCATTCTCGATGTACGACAGCCGGGGCAGGCGTTGCTGGAACTACGCGGCCATGGTGGATCCCTGAGCTCGGTTGAATGGTCTCCCGGAAGGAGAGGACTGCTCGCTTCCGGTGGCGATGACTGTCAAGTTCTGCTATGGGATCTTATTAACAGTACTCCTACCCCCGGTTCGTCCTCCAACGGCGCCGGTTCGGCAGAGAAACACCTCAGTCCGGTTGCCAGCTGGCAGTGCGACTACGAAGTTGGCAACCTTGGCTGGGCTCCTCCTCTCCACAATGGAGAGGGTGTCGGCGACTGGCTAGGTGTTAGTGGTGGACGAGGAGTCTGGGGTGTCAAGATCTGAAGTGCTCTATTTACGCATGTGAAAACCCAGTGCAGTTGGAGTACTACAAAGCAAAACCCCCCTATGCCAACAGCCATGCTCAGCGATGATCTATAAGCTAGCACTACCCCTCAGATTGCTATATGCATTTACGAAGCAAGGCGTTATCTGGGCCTGCAACACGTTTTTGGTTACGAACAAGCCCTTAGAGTTTGTGAGCGAAGGGCATAGCTGAGCAGGAGACAGTCTATTGTCGGGTAGAGTAGACTGTCTGATGAAAATGAGGGAGCCGATTAGGTATCCGATATGAGAGGCAAAGGTTGTGCCGTCCAACACTAATTGTCTAGGAGTATCGTACTCAAGTCTTAATTTGTATATTAGCAGCCATTCTAGTGGGCGAGCAGGCAGAATACCATGATGAGTCCGCAGATGGATGAATCGGTAGGCGGCAAAGTACCAGCGGTTGGTGATCGGTGGTATACGGCGAGGAACGGCCGCTTCAGTACAATAAGAACGCCATGCACCTTAAAAAAAAGGAAGTATGTGGTGAACTAAGGTGTGTTTTGTTTATTACTGTGCTTCTAGTTTTATGCTTTGTAGTGCTTAGAGATATATACCCTGGTGGGTGCATGGGGAGTAAGAAGTACTACGTATTATCATTAGCCTCGGTGGCTTTTTATGTTAGTTATATGTGAGAAAGACTCAAGATTACCTAAAGTGCTATGATATTAAGAATGATTTTGACGCTTCGATGACGCTCGTCCTTGAATACACTGATACAACATTTTAAAAGCTTCAAGGCGAAAGCAAATAAGTTGTTACGCTTGGACATAAATACGTACACAAGATTTCTAAAAAGGGCCGTCTCAAAGCATGTCTTTATCTTATATTTTTTTATTTATTTATTATAAATATCATATCATATCCTGATCTTTTCTCTTTGTATTGTTGTTGTTGTTGTCATTCCCCAATCGTTCCAGATACAACTGCGTGAGGTACCTAGATACCTGACAGCTGCCAAATCACTTGCTTCCAAAAACATTTCATCATTGGCCCTTTAGGTTTCCCCGCTAAGCTATATTTATATTAGCGTGGTTGAGCTTCCATTCTCCAGAATTATCCCAGAGATTTAGCACGTTGCGGCTGCTGCAGTTGAACGTAAAAGAAACCATCTTTCGCGTTCATCCTCCATCACCTATCAACCACCCCATCCTACACACCTTTTTCTCATTTCCTTTCATTCTCTTCACAACTTCTACCTCCTTTCAAATATTTACACGCGTCGATACATGCGCTTAATAATTGGGCATCATGAGTGACCCTCGCGACCACGATATCGAGTCCGACGAGGAAGAGGACTTTAATCCGGCACCTGCTGACATTAGCGACGACGAGCAGGATGACGAGCCGAAGCAGCAGTCACGAAAGTCCTCGCCTCCTCGAAATGGAGGTGATAATGAAGATGAAGACGAAGATGAAGATGCCGAGGATGGCATAGGAAATGACGACGATGAGGAGGATGAAGAAGAAGATGACGAAGAGGACGAGGAGATTCAAGTAAGCTATTTCTTATCCATCCTATAATCCATTGCTCTCTTCGTCCTATACTACTAAGCCCAATATCTAACTCAATTTCAATCTAAAGGGTCACCGTCGCAAGCGTCGCCGCGACAGACGAAACGCGTTCATCGATATCGAAGCCGAAGTCGATGATGAAGATGAAGGCGAAGATGACGAGGAGGCCGCCGAAGAGAATGAGGGATTTATCGAGCACGAAGAAGGAGGCGATTTTGGCGAGCAAAGCCGACTAGATGATGACCGACGACATCGTGAGCTCGACCGACAGCGTGACGCGGTTACACAGGAAGATCTGGAGCGCGCGGCCGAAGGCTACGTACGAAAATATGGAAACCGCCGCACTGCTAAGGGCATGGGCGATTCTGCAATCATTCCTCAGAGATTGCTCCTACCAAGCGTGGACGACCCGGGTATCTGGGGTGTGCGATGCAAGGAAGGCAAGGAGCGCGAAGTAGTCCAAGCCATTACGAAGAGGATAGCTGAACGCTGGAATACCAAGGACCAGTTAGCTGTTACCAGTGTCTTCGAACGAGGCGGACCTAATTCCATCTTGAAGGGCCTGATTTACGTGGAAGCCCCTCGACAGACCGACGTGATGATGGCACTCGAGGACATGATGAACGTATACCCTCGTACCAAAATGCTTCTCGTTGACATCAAAGAGAGACCTGATCTATTAAGGGTTCAGAAGACACCTACTCTGGAACCTGGTGCTTGGGTACGACTCCGCAGACCTGCCAAGCATGCCGGCGATCTCGCGCAGGTTCTTGATATCACAGAGAACGGCCTTGATGCTAGAGTACGCTTCATACCTAGACTCGACTACGGACTACGAGATGAGTCAATGTCTTTGACCGCCGATAAGAAACGACGACGTCCAGTTGCAGGCCCGCGGCCCCCTCAGAGGCTATTCAGCGAAGTCGAAGCGAGGAAGAGACATCCCCGTACGCTTCAGTATAGCAGCCAAACCAATACCTGGAATTATAACGGCGATGAGTTTGAAAAGGGCTTCCAGGTTAAGGACATCAAAATCCAACACCTAGTTGTTAGTGATGTGAACCCAACGCTGGAAGAGGTTACGAGATTTGCCTCCGGAGGCGAAGACGGAGTTGAAAATATCGATCTCAAATCGCTCGCCGCTAGTCTTAAAGACAGCAACGCAAACGTCGCGTATCTCCCAGGCGATGTAGTAGAGGTATACGAAGGCGAGCAGAAGGGTGTAGTTGGCAAAGCTACAAATGTCCAGGCGGACATTGTTACAATCTCAGTCACCGAAGGTGATCTCGCTGGACAGACTATCGAGGTACCTACGAAAGGCCTTCGCAAACGATTCCGGACCGGTGACCATGTCAAGGTCATTGGCGGTAGTCGGTATCGCGATGAGGTCGGTATGGTCGTGAACATTTCCGAAGATCGTGTCACCCTTTTAACCGACCAAACCACTACTGAAATTACCGTATTCAGTAAAGATCTCAGAGAGGCCAGCGATATTGGTGGCCAGGGATCCCTAGGTCAATACTCGCTACTTGACTTAGTTCAACTCGATCCTATGACGGTCGGCTGCATTGTCAAAGTAGACCGAGAGACGTTAGTTGTATTGGACCAGAATGGCGATACGAGACAGGTTATGCCCTCGCAAATCGCTAACAAGCTGCCAAAGCGAAAGCTCGCCGTGGCCGCCGACCGCAACGGGTCTGAGATCAGGCCGGACGATGTTGTCAAGGAATATGGTGGCATGGGTCGGCAAGGCAAGATCGTTCACATCCACCGCACTTACGTGTTTTGTCACACGAACGACACCACAGAGAACGCTGGTATTTTCGTGTCCAAGGTTAACAACGTGTCCACGATTTCGGCAAAGGGTGGTCGTGTTAACGCTGGCGGTTCTGGGCCGGACTTGACGGTTATGAACCCTGCAAGAAAGCTGAACTCAAATGGTGGCAGGAGTGATATGCCACCACCCAAGGCCTCATTCGGACGTGATAAGCTGATCGGTCAAACGGTCACGATTAGAAAGGGTGGCTACAAGGGCGTGCTTGGTCGTGTCAAAGATACTACCGATACGCATGCTCGCGTGGAAATGCATAGCAAGGGTAAAGTCATTAGCGTTCTAAAGAGCGATATCACGGTTCGTGATAGTGTTACTGGGCGTGAAATCAAAAACTACGACACACGCCGTCCAGGTCAAGGAGGACTTCCTGGAAGACCTGCTCAAGGAAATTCAGATTGGAGCGGGGGTCGCACTCCTGTGGGCGGAGCCTCATCACGAACTCCTGCCTGGAAGACGCCGTCCGCAGGAGCAAGTGGCGGACGCACCCCTGCGTGGAGTAAAGGCGGTGACGGCGGTCGAACGCCAGCGTGGGCTGATGGTTCCCGCACTGTCAATCCTTATGATGGCAGCAGAACTTCCTATGGTTCTGGTAGTCGCACGCCTGCTTGGTCTTCGGGCGCTAAAACACCAGCACCTGATCACTTTAGTCACGGATCCAAGACACCCGCGTACGGTGGTGGTAGCGGTGACAACTGGGGTTCTAAGACGCCTTACGGCGCTTCCGCGGCCACTCCAGGAGCCAGTGGAAATGATACTTGGGGCTACACTCCTGGTGCAAGCGGATCGTCGAATGCCTACGATGCGCCAACCCCTGGTGCTGGCCTTCTGGGTGCTCCCACGCCTGGTGCTATGAATGCCCCGACTCCTGGTGCCTACAACGCGCCTACACCTGGTGCTATGAATGCGCCCACCCCCGGCGCTGGCTGGCAAGGTGGATGGGGAGCTGACTCGGCGCCCACACCTGCTGCTGCTGCCCCGACACCAGCGGCAAGCGGCTTTGCCTCCTCGAGCGGGTACTACGGAGCGCCCACTCCTGGCGCCTACAATGCAGAGACACCCGCAGCAGGCCCCCGATACACCGATGACGACTAGATTTTTCAAGGAGGGTTATTATAAAAGGAAAGCTACGGGGCGGCGAATGGTGTGGAGTTTGCTACATATCTTGCTTTTTTTGAGATGCAGTACCTTAAATATGTACTATTAGGACAAACGTAGCCTTTCCCAATTAACGATTACAATTCAGGATGTTGAGTTGATGCTCTTGGGTTTTCTGTGCTATATCCGAATAAATTCCGTGTAACTAGTGGTGTAAGATTATCTTCGACCTACGTTCCGATATCGTAAACAGTTGTGAAGAATGAGTGTTATTCGACTAGGTACCTTGGGGGGTAAATCTAGGCTCCGGTTGGGTTGGGAGTGTCTTGTGTCCTTTACTCCTATCCTTCTCATCCCGATTTCTTTTCACTGCTGCTCATCGAGCGAGGTTTTGCAATCTATATTTTGCTTGTCAACGCAGTGGGACTCGACAACACTATGGTTGTTCAGATAGGCCCATCTTAAGTGCGTAGACGTGGGTGCACAATTGGGATGTCTACCCGCGATTATTGATACGGTTGAATAAACGAGTTACCTGTGTGTATGCCAGTAGGCCTATCTAGTTAGGTGTGTGTACGTGGCTCTGTGCGCAATGATGTAGTTGCTTTCCCGCTTCTTGCTCGCATAGTAACACGCATGTAAGCTGTCTAGAGTAAAGTGTCCACCGGCGTTGATTGTGACTTAACACAGCTGGGGTTATAGGTTGTAGTTTGTGAGGTGTAAGCATCTCGATCGTCGATGTGTCTTATCGGGATCTCTACCTAATGTAATATATCGTTGCGAGTGGAGTCGGGAGGAGGGGGTACGGCTGTGAAGAATACGATATAATAGATAAATTGTTGATGATGCTAGTTTTGGTGTGATGAGTGGGACTTGCTACACTCGTGTTCCTGTGAACTAAGTCGAAGATCATAGCTTGTGCTTAGGGGGTGGGGTGGTGACGGTTGTGTAGTTTCTACCGCAGGGCGTATGTCTTGGGCCTCACTTCTGGGCAAGTTGAGAATCAAGATAATATCAAAAGATTGTAGTTATAATGGAAGGAGTTGATATGGTGAGTCTCTTATTAATAAAACTAATTTGAAGACTAGTAGTACTCATGTTCAGTTAAGATTCAAGTTTCTTTTAGATAAGGATAAATAATATTAAGGTATAAAACAGTTTTAATAAGATTCTATAGGAAATATCGTGAGGGATGTCCCTCTAGCTCCCAATAGACAGCCGATGATTTCGATTTACATTCCTTTCATCTCTAATATCTTGCTGAATTTTATGCTGTAGGTATTTCTTCACTTTTACGAGTTTCTATAGATTATTAACGGATCCATTTTTTAAGAGGATTTGATAAAATTTGCTCGCCGAGGAGACCTTTGAAATTGAAATGAAATAGAAGAAACATGACATGACGAACATTGAAATTTTTAATGATGTTGAAAAGGTTGAAAGAGTATAGAGTCCCCCGTCTATCCTAATTCCTAGATCCATAAAGTCTTGAGTTGGAAGGATCGTCGCTCATAGCAAACATTAGCCATGAATAAGTTGCTAAAACTTCCCAAATGTCCGAAGGAGAACTAATTACATACGTCGTTGAAAGGTAGAAGTCTAGTTATGTTAATGAATTGTGATTTTTCCCCTTCAACACCCACCGAGCCGGAATGAATAATAATAGATAGAAATTGAATACGGCCTAAATCATAAGAACTAAAGAATGAAATGCAGCGAATGAAAACTCAATAATACCAAGAGGTTCAAAATTACCCTTCTTCCATCCCCCCCTATTCGGAGTCTAGTTTTGCTCGTTTTGCTGTATATATGGCAGGTCCGGATTCTCAGCGTCTATATGCGGGAGATACTCAAATCCAGACCAGCTATTGCTCATATTCCCGTAAGACCAATGGAACTCGGGTTGGTCTAATACTAAGGCTTGAGAGGGGCCAGGCATGGGGTTAGGCGGAACTCTTGTCAGTTGATTGCCCCCATAGCCGGGGAAATTCTGCGGGCCATAAGTCATTCCTGGGGGGATCTGCGGCGGGAGTATCCGGTATTGGGCTTGAGGCTCCCTTATAAGCATCGGCTGGCTGTTTTGTCTGCTCATCTTTGGGACCGATATGTGCCGTTGGGTCATGGTTGGGTTGCTTATGACTGGTGTTGTAGGCATGGTAATTTGGGTCGCTGTCTGGCCGCTAGACGAAGAATTCCCTAAGGAGGGTGTGTCGTTCAGATCCATGTGGAGATTATAAGCCCTTTGTGCCAACGAGTTCAGGCGGCTTTTCATTAGTATCTCTTGCCCTTGGATAAACTGGATACTACCGGACATGGTTCCGTGATCGAGGAATCTTTGGAACAGATTCGCAAAGCCCTGTGTGTTTGCTGGTGTTGGTAACGACCTCATTCCTATAGTAGTCCGTTCGGCCCCTAATAGATGATTAGATTCATACTAGGATATACTGGTGCTTTCGGCCAGAAAACTCACAAGGATGCGTGGGACGAGGTATTCCTGGGTAAATCGTCTCCCAGATGTTAAACCATTTCTCGACTTCGGAAATCTTTTTCCTTTTCTTGCCTCCGCTTCTGTCTAGTAGCGTCCATTGCTCCATATTTATGCCCGAGTTGGATTCGGAGTTTCCTACGGCACACGGCTCTGGTTGCTGGCGATGTGTCTTCAGCTCGGCGACGCTTTCTTCGATGGCCTTGCCTTTTCCCGAGAAGTTCTTATAGCAGCGCTCACATTGGATTAAGAGATGCTTCCGTTTGATATGTTCCCTCGATGACAGTTAGTTCACTTTCTTCGGTATTATGGTATATCCTTACTTCAAACGCTGGATTGTTTTGTATCCTGATTCGCACACGCGATATTGGTCTCCGGTGATAGGGTTGCTACAGAACCTGGCAGGGTCCGACTTGTTGAAAGGGCAAGCATATCGTCCTCTCTGCTCGCCTGATATTGAGCCATCGTCGTGGTTTTCAGGTGAACCACTTCCCTCGTCATCTCTTTCCCCATCTCCATCATCGGAACCTCCACCCCTTGATCTCGACAATCGCTGCTTCTTGCGGGATTTCGAGGCCCTCTGACCTGTGTTGGGGTTTACAAAGGATTGTCGCGAGCTCTCCCCTGAACCAGGTGAATTTTGGCAGGTAACAACGCCTTTCTGCCAACCTCCAATTCTTCGTGCTTCACTATGAACCCGATCTTTATGTAATTCCATAATAAGCGATGCAGCGAATTCCAGATCAGGAATATTCATCAGCACCGCAGTCTCGATCTTGTCTGGCTCCCCGGCCCATTCGTCGTTGTCTTCTTCGTCCTCGGAATCGAAATCGTCGTCTTCAAATTCGCTGCTAATCTCCTCGTGCCTACTTTGGCTAGTCTCACTAAGTCGGCCTCGGGATGTAGTATTCTCGTTGTTATCATTCGATGATATACGCTTTTCGTCTGCATTTCTCGCCGAAGGTATGACATCGTGAAAGTCGCTGCCCATTGCTTTCGTAAGCATTTGTTTAGGATATCTACAAGTTGCGAAATCAACGATAGATAATGTTTGGTAGGATAGAGGAAGAAGTATAGCTTACTGTATGTCTAGAATCTGAGATGGGTTACGAATTTCGTCGTCAGTATCGGATGGCCTCCCACATCGTTCGGTTATATTCAACTCTGTCTCTGTGAAAAGGTCATCCTTGAAAGAAGCCGGACTCGCTTCTGAGTACACAGCTGAAGATTGGTCCCAACAAACACTTTCGACTGTACTTGGACTGTCAGACCTGGTGGATAATGCGCCGACACGTTGGAGCAAGTTTGGAGTTGAGCTTTTAAGAAGGCAAATATCAGTATTGGTCCCAGATTCAGCCTGGGCGTGTAAGTTCTTTCTAGCCGTCTCATCTGGAGGGCATAGAAGCATCATATCTCGTGCTGTAGATGATTCCATAGCGGCTGCTTCTAACAATAGAGCGAGCAGTCGTGGTACAATCTAGTCTGCAATGGAGACATAGCTCTCTAGCCGACTTCACAGAATACCTAGTTTCAGTAGTTAACCGTGAGCCCTGCTAGATAATGATTAAAATAAATAATAGGCAGCTATATTATGATCCTCGGACGTGTCTTGTTGGTCTAAGTAAAGAATAAATGCCAGCGGGGGATTAATTCGCAAGACAGATTATGGCAGGGGTTGATGTTAAGCTTACAGCCAGAGCCTCACGCATTTGCGCGAGCCTTCTTGCTGCGCAGAAGAGTGACGAAATCCTACACAAAATGCACTTTTGACCTACTCGTGCCAACAAGTTCCACCAATTAATTTTGATCTATCTCAGTCCTAACCCGACCCGAGGTTTCAATCGTAAGCCACAACACTTAACGACGCAAATGCGCCGTATTTGGCACCGGCACCGACACCGTATTAATGCCGGATGGTTTCGATATATGGGAATCTGAATAATTCGATTTTATTGAAGCGCGAGCTCAGCGTAGTATCCGGACAAATACAGCCACACGGAATGTCCCCGAAACCCTACATCTGACGCGTGAAAGGCATCGTGGTATCACACGAGGCCGGATTCTCCATGTGGGTTAGATGCGAGTTTCAACGTTGGAATAATTCCGCATTATCGAACAAAGAGCGACAAGTTCGCTCAGCTCTTGTCGGTGAACCTATTGGGCCTCTTGGCGTTCGTGGTCACAAGTATTCATTAAGACACTGGACTACGGTGTATTGATACGCGCGGCAGCTCGAAGGGTGGCGAATAGGGTGGGAAATGGGTGTAATTGTCATACAGGGAACTCCTCTTAGACACCATCGCGTATAATATATTGCAAAAGATCAGATAGAATCCACTCGAGAGCGGTAGGGTGATCACTTCGAGGGAAGTCTGCGATCCCTTCACGCTAACTCTGCGCAATTCTGCGAACAAAAGACCGGAATTATTACCCTTTCGATTGATCATCTAAGGGAATGTGGATATGTGATCTACTATGATAAAATAGGGTGTTTATGGTCTACATTGGCTATCCCTAGTACATCAGGGACGTTGCGTATTAGATAGAAATTCGCCTGCGAGATACTTGAGTCATCAAAACCCTTACACACCCTATAATGCGCTTCACCCTTAGTTAACTGTGCGATGGCGATTTGTGTCTTAGTGTCTTTTCTATTATCCTCGCATCTGCGCGGAATTATATGGAAAGGGTCCGTTCGCCATTGACTAACCGTGTTTTAACACTCAAGTGCGAAGATAACCCTGAGCACACCGCAGCACTTGCGAGTATTGAGGAGGAATAGTTGGAATCATCTGCGCAAACGTCCATGATGTATTCGGCCTGGATGTCTATATATTAGGCTTTCCCCAGAGCTGCCATTGACAGAAACTCAACCACAGTCAACCACACTCAACCAATCCAAACAGCTCTTCGAGGCCAGTCACCGCGTTGAATACATACACTCATCACGTTTCTTCCCAACTCCGAACTAAAATACCAAAAGACTGCCATAATCGACAACTGTCTTTACGAAAGTCAAGATGGGCCGCAATAACAACGAGAATATTGTCAACGGGGCTAATGAACCGCCCAAGCCTAAGCCTCCTCACCCTGTCGATCCTAGTACGTACTATTCCTCACAAACTACCGTCTAGAGACTTCTACTAACGAATTAGATTATGGCAAATAAATACTTGTCGCACCGCGAGCTATAGAGTTAAAGATAGGATCAAACAACTTCCCATACTTTACCCTCAATACCTACTATGGCAGCAGCGGGGGTGGCAAGATGTTAATAGCTTACGACAACGACAATGATAACTTGGCTTGGTTTATAGGATATCAGTATCAATGGGGTAGATACTTTGGTTACTTACCTCCGTATCATAATTATGACAGTATAATGTAACTAATTATTAACATGCTGTTGCGTCCCTATTGTCAGGTGATCAAGTGTAACGAAGTGATAGACTATCAAAGAAGTTGAATTGTCGATATGAAGATTCCTAGATTAACACAATAGTTTCTTAGATACCCAAGGTCAGTAAAAGAGCCATCTAGGACTAGTTGTTGTCCTCTAATACTTATATGATATTTACACAACTCTTTACAGGAATAATTGGCTGAGTCTCACGTTTGATAGCACTATCAGACTTCAAATAATAGACAATTGTCCAATTAGAAGTCTTATATATCTTCATCGAGTGAATATCATTATAACTAATTCATTCTTCGTATATGAGGTACAACTACGACTATCAACAAGTGCAACACTCCTATCTTAGGGGAAGAACTTGTTCTTTGGTCGCTTGAGGCCCAAGTGCTCCCGCAGAGTTGTCCCCTCGTAATCCTTACGGAAGAGCCCTCGCCGCTGCAGCTCCGGGATCAAGCGTTCAACGACATCATCAAGGCCCTGTGGTAAGAAGGGAAAAACAACATTGAAGCCGTCTGAACCCTCTTGTATAAGCCACTGCTCCATCTCATCGGCCACCGTCTGGACCGTTCCGACAAACGCTAGACCGGAATATCCTCCATATCTTTGTGCGAGTTGGCGGACGGTAAGACCTTCGGTCGCTGCGAGCTTTAACACACTCTCGCGGCTTGATTTGCTTGCGTTGGTCTCCGGAAGCTCAGTCGGCAGAGGGCCGTCTGGATCTAAGTTGGCGACGTCGTAGCCAAGTGCAATAGAGAGCGAAGCGATGGAACTCTCATAGTGCACAAGACTGTCCAACTTCAGCCGCTTAGCTTGGGCCTCTTCGACTGTATCACCAATGATTATAAACGCGGCGGGTAGTAGCTTTACATCGTCAGGGGTACGGCCCACAGCGGCAAGCCGACCCTTCACGTCCTTGAAGAACTCCTTGCCCGCCTCGAGATTTCGCGGTGCGCAAAATACTACCTCAGCCGTCTCGGCAGCAAGCTGTTTCCCCGGCTCCGATGCGCCGGCTTGCACGATTACCGGCCATCCCTGCGGTGGTCGCGCAATGTTTAGTGGACCCCTGACGTCGAGTTCGGCTCCGTGATGATCGAGAACGTGCAGGCGCTCGGGATTGAAGAAGATGCCGCTTTCGACATCACGCACGAAAGCGTCATCAGCAAAGCTATCCCAGAGCCCTGTCACCACATCGTAGAATTCGCGGGCCCGAGCGTAGCGTTCACTGTGTTCTTTATGGGCGTCTTGGCCGAAGTTGCGTGCCGAGTCTGGATTAGCGGTTGTGACAATATTCCAGCCGGCGCGGCCTCCGCTCAGATGGTCGAGCGACGCAAAGCGCCTTGCGATGTGGTAAGGCGCATCGTACGTCGTCGAAGCCGTAGCGACGAGGCCGATGCGCTCGGTCACTGCGGCTAGACTTGATAATAAAGTGAACGGCTCGAACGACGTGACTGTGTGACTGCGTCGGAGCGCCTCGATCGGCATGTTTAATACGGCCAGATGATCGGCCATGAAGAATGCGTCGAACTTGGCGGCTTCTAGTTTCTGCGCAAACGACTTGATGTGCTGGAAGTTGAAGTTGGCATCGGGATAGGCGCCTGGATATCGCCATGCTCCTGTGTGCAAGCTTACCGGGCGCATGAAAGCGCCTAGGTGAAGCTGCTTCTTCTGTTGCTGTTTCTCGGCCATGTCTACGAAGTACTGTTTGTGTCTCTTCCTACGGATCTACAGGGCTCCTTTGCGGCGGGAGTGCACCGTTCTTCTACGTTATGAGGTAGGCTCCGGCCCGTCCGGATCGGCTTATACACCGTGGGATGTCGCCATTACTGAGGGGTATGACGAGAGATCCGAGAAGCCAACCCCAAAGCCGGATAGACAAATGTTGCATAAAGTGGTAACAGTCGGACTTAGTTACGCCTTCGATATCAGTATTGACTTATAAATCAACGAAGATACATGCCGCTAAGTCGACGGCTACCAATCCAATTCATTCTTTGATGAATTCTACTACCGTGTGACTGGTCGAACATGATGCTTACCAAAGAAAGTCTCCGACGGAACGGTTTCGATTAGTCTCGCCGCTACTATATCTGCATCAATGTTGTCTTCGTCGTTAACACATGAGAAATGTGATTTGAAATCATATGGTATATTAGCTTCACCGTCTCCAATGCGTAATCAAACAAAGGAGAAATGACAAGAAAAAGAGGGTTTCCGTTATTAGATGCCGACAGCTCTTGTAAGGGTGGCGAACAACACATTTTAGTAAAATGAGTATGGTCTTTTGAAAATCCCATGATATCCACGGGGTAATAAGGTCTACGACTAAGAATGGGACTGAGTTCTATTTCGTCCATCGGATACTAGAATGGAACCTTGTCATGGATGTGGATTCGATTCAATGTCGCTGGCTTTCAACATGGCACGATAACTACACAATACACATGTCGATATCGCGGAATCTACCTGTCTTGAATCCATGCTCTAAAACGTGGGTTGCCCCTTGATAGTAACCCAGTTTTCCACACTCATAACTTCGACATACGAACTTGTAAGATTTCGGCTTCTATGGAGCGGCAAGGGGCTACAAGGACTACCCTGCAGTTTCGCTAGCCACTGGGGGACAGTGGAGTCGGGTTCCCTTCGCTTTAACTAACCGCTTACCCCCCTGTTCACCCCTGCTCGACTTCAGACGACATGAACTCATGAAGAAACCATTCTATGGTTGCACTATTCTCTGCTTTAAACGAACTATGTTCGGTTAAAACTCACCCTTGATATTTAGAGTATAATTTTTATAGAGTATAATGTTTATTTTGTCTATGTTTGATACTCTGCTCTCATATCGCTATAATCACAATAATAGACTATCAACGTCAGGACCGGGACCGTGCGCTTTCTAATCTAAGATTTCCACTTGAGGAGCCTCACGATAGCGGCTAGGCGAACCCGAAATGGCCATCCGGACGCGGGCTGCGAACCCCATCATTATATCTCCCGATATTGAAGGATCTCTCAGGGTATCACCAGTATGTTCGGCGCCATTTGAGGTGTTCGTCTCTTGGCGTTGTCGGGTCCTACTTCGCAGACCGGGCTCGCGATACCAAATCTTAAGGTGAAAAAGGGGACATGGGTTTCAGCCAAGACATTCTTCGCTGTCTTCACGCAAAGCGCGTTGCATAACCAACTCGACTAGCACAAGCGTGTCCGTCCTACGTCCCGTTACGAGGCTTCAGCCCGGCTACAGTTACCGACGAGATAGTTGAGCGCCCCAGAAATGTTAAGATGATTTTCCGGATCTTATGGAAATCACATCGTATCACATCGTATAAGATCTACGACTTCCCGCCCATACGTTTCGCAAGTCTTTTTTCTTCATCCCATTCTATAAACATCAACAGCCAGTTTCTATTCCTTCTTTCTTCTCCAACAGCTGTGCTGTTCCTTTCCATTACTCGTATTCATTTCATTTCGCTAGTCGAATAAAGTTAGCCAGTCGTTGACGACTTTGAATCATCCGACTTTTTTTTTACCCTACCACACCAAAATAATCACAATGCGTTTCTCTCTTGCTCTAGTTGCGGCTTACGCTGCCTTCGCCCAGGCTGGTGTCTTCACCCAACAGAAGTACAACGACATCTCGATCTCCGGAGGTGTTGCCGGTAACGCACAAGAAGAAGCCCTCGCCGTCTTCAGTGCACTGGACTTAAACAACCTGGCCAGCGCCGATAAGGACGACCTCGACTTCCTTAACTCGGTTAACAAGATCTGCAACCAAGCTGAGGAGCAGGCATTCAACCCTGCTATCGACGATGCCTCCGGTGAGGCTGCCGATGCTCTCCAGCGCGGCAAGATAAAGAACAAGGTTCTCAAGCTCCAGGCCACCATCTTTCGCTTGATGATCGAGCAAGCCCAGGGACAGGATGTCTCCGCCGACATGGCTAAGGAGCAGAAGAAGCTTGACAACAACATCAAGCAAGATGAGGACGAGGCTGGCAATGCCTCAACCTTCCTGTCCTTCGATGCCACCACCTCTTAAATTATCGAAACGAAGACCTAGAGTCTAGAGAGGAGGAATACCCATTTTGGTTAAGCATAATAACCCATATACCCGAATTTTCATGGGCAAGGGGTGGAAATGTATGGATACGAGTATGGACTTTAATTCTTGATACCGAAGGAAAGAAATACAATATTTTCTGTTGATTTAAACCTGAGTTTTGTCTATGATTCTATGCGCGTGAGTGAATTGCTTCTGGTAGATGGTTTTGTCGTAATGCCTGCGACCTGCTATCTAACAGTATCTAGCGGAAAGCTACTATGCTACAATCTAGAGGATGTATTAAACGCATGATCACGAGGTAGAAGCTGCCTATTGTGGTTTCACTACGTGATTCGTAGTAAGACTTGAAGTCAAGACATTTATTCAGAGACTATCTCATAATATTACTCGCTCCCTATCACGAGTTCCACAGACCTATGTTACCCAACCTCCATAGCTACTTAACAAGTGAACACAGCAGGTCCAGGGGCGGTGTAAGAAGTAGGTACCGGGTAGTAGATGTTAATTAATATGCCAGGGTCGGTAGCCTTGTAAGCGCCAGGGAACGAGACAAGGTTCGTAGGAGTCTTGCTGCCGCCGCCAGTAACAGTGAGCTGCGCGCACGAGATGTACGTCTGGGCGCCGCCGACCGAGCCCGCGGAGTGAAGAGCGATGTGCTCGACGCGGAGCAGGTAGTCGCCGGCGGGGATGCACGACGGGATCTTGGTCGTGACCTGCGTGGCGCCCTGGCTGGGCCAGGTCAGACCGCTGGGCGAGATGTTCGGGCCCTGCGAGAAGATCTTGAACCACACTGCGCCTGAGCCGTCCCACGAGTCTGCTTTCTGGCCCGCGGGCACCTTCGCCATGTAGAACTGCAGAGTCCCCGGGTGAGAGACGGAGGCGTCGGCCGTGAAGCCAACGGTGGAGCCGGCGGCTACGGTCATCGTCTTGGCGCCCTCGTTGCCTGCGGCGAGTTGGTAGCAGCGGAACTGCTCGGAGCTGACGTCGGTCACTACGAGGTGTTAGTTGATGCTATTAAAACGATAGTTCATAGGCAAGAGCCAGAAAATACGGACCTGGTCCATTGCTCTGGTAGTTCGTTGTCTTCCTCACGTACTCCCACTTGTCAGTAGAACCACCGTTTGCAACTAGCGCTGGGAAAGTGTCTGGCCGTATATTAGTTACTTTACCGCGGGTCATTTATGGCTTTATTCAACTTACAGTGGGCCTGGACGGCTGCCACGAGGGCGAGGACAGCGGCAACAGCCTTCATTTTATCAAGACGTGGGAATGTAGGTTGGTAGTGGTGAAGTTCCTTGAATCTGGTATGGCAGGCTTTAAAGATCGGCGGCACTCGATATATATACATGGAGAATGTCAGGGGGACACACGTCGTACTACTATTATTATATCCATGCTCTCTTTCCGCGAATTTCTAAAAAAGGCATGGGGAGATCAATTAAATTCTTGCATTACCGAATGATTGAGCCATGCTCAATGACGACCTTACATGTTTGGACGCGGCGAGATGGCTACCGAGCGGATAAAGGTCCTCCGGGTAAATGATACTCACCCTTGTATAACTCCCCCACAACCAATCAGCTTTCCCACCTTAATTGAAGTTGACGGGAGGTAAATGAATGCATGAAGTCTTGGAAAACCGATATGCAGGCCATATTCTGTGGGGTAGTGTGTTGAGTCCACCGGCCCAGATTCTTGGTGTGTAGGCGTGGCCGTTCACTTAGGGGATAGACCTCGTGCCTTCGACTGAAAGTCGGCCCAATATCCCGACGCTTAGTGACACATTAGGAATGGGCACAGGACTGGTAGGCTAGTATTTGTCAGTGTAGTAGCACTGGACGGACCGAAGTCAAAGACGTTAGGCTGCCTCCTCACTTCGGGCAGAAGGCGGTTTCATTGTATTCCACTTTGAGCTCGCGAGTGCTTCGATTCTCTCGACCCAGGAATGCCAGTAAACTCAATCGTGGAATCGGGTAAAATATGGCTACGAATAGAAACGTAAACAGGGGTTATACTTGGATCTTACCTTTCCCCCTTTAAGTACCTACCTAAGGTAGGTGTATGCTTCAAGGTTGCTGATTAGTAGAAGTAGTCTCAAACTAAACTAATCGTGTCTAGGTAAGATCTTCGGCCAAGACTTTGAGGCTCTAGTGATAGTTTTGGAGCTCACTGCGTATACCAGGGTACTCCATAATGTCTACCTTCAGTGGGCTGAAAAATGAAGTTGTGCGCTGTGAAAGGGTTTGTGGTTTAAGGGGCCTGAAAGATAATCCAAGACAGAAGAGCCTGTCTTCTTAGTAGAGCCCGGATCAATTGTAGTTATTCAAAGACCTAGGACTGTGTTTACCTAGAGGCCATATAGTATGAAAGACAATGCTATTGACAAAAACTTAGACATCTTTATTGTAAGAATCTACTTCTTCTAGGTTGGTCAAAGAGAAACGCCAACAATAACATTTTATGGATAAACAATGCTCATTGTTCTAAAGGCTCTTGAGAAAGGTATAAGAACCAGTCCGAACCACTTCGTATATTCCATCATTCCAATCATCACAACAGCTCAGCTTAGTATTCGACTTCTTCGGTTGACAGGATCAACCATTCACACACTTCTACACCGGGGGAATCTCAACAACCATTTCTAACTTCTACTCATACTTTTAACCTTTTAACCCTTTAACCCTTCAATACCGCCCATCATGTGCTGGCACCCGCAACAACTATACACCTGCCAACATCGCCAGGACTATTCCAGCCAGGTGATCGCATGTCCCTTGGTTGCTTCTTACGGCCGATGCCCTCTTGTCACTCTCATGGACGCCCCTGAGTCCGACACGGTTCGCGTCAATGAGAAGTGCCACAGCTGCAGGCGACGATAGGTAAGTATGAGTCGAATTCGAAAAATGGTTCCAGAGGTAAATACACCCTTATTCTAGTAATATCGGTTCCCCCTCCCCCCCTTTTCCGATCGCAGAGCGACGGAGTGGAAGTAGTGTGAAAATGGAAGTAGATAGTAAGCCTTAATAAAGTTTAGTGTTTAAAAATAAAGCGCATCGATTTCAGTGATATGCCTATCGTGATTTATAATTTATTAGGGAGTACTGTAGAATTCTACCATGTACCTAACCGAAGATAGTAGATTACCTACCTTACATTAAAATGTGACATTTGATAGTTTGCTAAGTATAACGCTGCCTTTGATATAACAACGTATTTAAAGTCTCGAGAAACTCATGGGCTTTTAATACGTATTAGTTATTAGGTACCTTACTTAAAACTAATTCAGCAGTGGAATCTATACCTACCTACGTACGTCTTGTCAGGGTATTATGGGTCAGGGGTAGCTACAGGGGTCTATCTACTATATAAGAGGCGCGAAGCGCCTTCGTAAGAGGATAGAAGGCCAGGCGTTACTAGATCAATACTATCTATTACTTGGTCTACCTATCCTAAACACTCACTCTGGGTATGACATCAATCGACGGGTATAAATCCTGACACGTCTACACTCCACTCCGTAATTCCTTGGAACCATTTCTAAAGAGTTGTGCTACAAAAGCGGCATGATTTTCAGTGATATAACTAAAACTTCTGTTTTATATTTAAGCTACTTGTTACGATATATAATAATTCCTGTCATAAACCTTTATAAACGGGGCACCCTCCCCCCTATTCTTTACCACAAGCTAGACCCTTACTACCCACTCTGTGCAACACGACCCCTGACATTTCATAAACAAAGATATACCTTAAACAAAGAATTAAACCACTGGAAATACCTAAACATTTCAAAAAGTCCTAGATCCACCAATACCGCCCCGCGAACCCGCCGCCGAAAGATCATTAGGCGACTCCCACTCGTAACTAGCATTCGCCAACGTCCATATGCGAGAACGGCGCGTGTTCATATCCCAATTTCCGATTTTCCGCACCGGCACCGGCACGGATACGCTCTCCCCGAAGCTGAGGAGCATAGCCTGGAGCTCGTTTATGTCGTCTTCGAGCTTGAAGTACTTACGCGTCAGGTCTACGTAGTTATCTTCCAGTTCCCGATATTTGAAGCACTTTTTCGCATCCCATCTCGCGTTAGAGGTGTTAATGAACGGGTCGCGCGCGTCGAGGTACCGCTGCTTTGCGGTGTATAGGTCCCTCTGTAGTTCGCACTTGCGGGCTATGAGTTCTTCGTGCCTTTCGGCGACTATTGTCTTCATATCCGAGGTGAACTGGCCACCACGGCGCTGGGTGTGTACAGTAGGAACTCCATTCCTCCGGTCTTCCTCATCGCTGTCGTAGTCCTCGTTCCTAGCATTTCTGCAATTGCACCGTGCGAAGATGATCTCAGGTAACCTTTTAACCTTGTTCTTTAGCAAAGTACAGCTCCTGCGTCTCTTATCACATCCGTGCTCCTCTCCGAAGGCCTTTATCCGCTTCCTTAGAGCAGGCAGCGATTTAGAGCGATGTCTAGATGCCATCCCGGATAACAGCTCGTGTATTCCACAGATCTCCCTCTGTAAAGTAGAAATTTGGTTCATTATCTGATATCTATCTAGTAGGCCACCTAAATGCGACCTGTGCTACAAGAGACATTAATGGCTATTCGCGGAAGGGATAATTGTTGTACATTTAAGAACCGAATTAGAATTCAGTTAGAATACTAAATATAGTCTTTATTTTGATAGTAGATACAAAGACGTGACTTAACAATCAATTATCAGCTGTGTATCTCAAAGGTCAGCCGTACGATCTACTGAAATTTACAATGCAGCATTGTCTAGTCAACCTTTCCTTTGATTATAAAGCCGAAGATCCTATTGCACTAACATTTTATTAGTTGGAGACTTAGCTTTTCTTACCGAGGCAGAAAACTAGGAGCAAGAGTAAATATTATACTACGTAGGTACCTATATTCGGTTATACCGCTTGCCGCTATATATAATATGGTATTGGACTTGATAAATAGGGATTCATAAAAATAATAGAGTATTCGTCAACATATCTCACTGTTAAGTACGATGGTTAGTTAGGTGATGGTAACTAAACTAAAACTTAAGCTGTTGTAACATCATACCTGTCATAGTTAAATAATCGATCAAGCGTGTGCCAAGTGTTATTTGAGCTTATTGCTTATTGCTGACTATCTCTTTGTTGTGTTCAATGGCTTTATATGAGGTAGTTGCTTGAAAAGCAAACAAGTAAACCTGAAGTGGATCGAATGATACCAAACGCTTTTCTATCTCGATTCTCGGGTATAGATTCGGCAGGAGATTCCACATCGAGCAGCTCAATATTGATGTACCCTGTAGCGTAATCCCTTCTCTTACTTCAATACGAAGTGGGTATTATTGCTACCAGGAGAGTTCAAGGCAAATTAGAGAGTACTCTATTGACACTGCAACATGTGCAGCAAACATCTGCCAACTGCCAAGCCTGGGCTACATCGTCAGCTTACTAGTCTTAAGCCCAACGTCGAAGCGATAAAGAACCTGGTGTTATTACCAAGTATAGCTTTCATGCTTCTGGACTACTGATAGTTGTCGGTCTATCGCCTGGTAGCTTCGCCTTCTAGGTGCCGAATGAAGAAGATTCGATGATCAAGGTATCTAGCTCCTTTGTGAAATGTTGATATCAGCAGGTAAAGACATGGCTGGGGCTGTAAGCATTATGAATTTCGACTAGCAGGGCAAGTGGCCATACCGAAACAAGGCATGGATGGGTTAGAGGTGGTTGCTTGGTGGACGTTCTATGTAACTTCGTGGAGCCACTAATATCCGGAAAGGCATTGAAGAATAATCCTTCATCTTTTCGATGATGCCGTCCTTCGATCGCAGTTCATGAAACTTATAGTTGTAAATAGATCCTTGACCTGTTGCAATAGTTTCATCTTGGAGACCGATTTCTCCTCTAATAGTTCGCATTGGAGTTTCAGCATTTGAGCTTGCTTGCTGCCAGGCCTGTCCTCTATTGTGGCAATGACTCGTTTAGTAAGCCGTTGGGCATTATCAACGAGAACCGAAGCGATATGGATTAAGAGGACGGTCTGCATCGTCGAAGCGGCCGTATTGGTTGCAACAAAGTTTCCAACTCGAACTTCTGGTACATGCACATGTGGCTCGACAAGGTCAGGTGAGGCTAAGGTGACTTGAGTACACGTTTTCGCACAGCTGATAATGGTCCCCATCGCGTCTACAACTTTGGCGTGGCAGGACACCAAAAGGTTGAAGAGAAAGGTATCAATCTCATTCTGATCATCACCTGGGGTCGAAAAGAAGGCCGCTATATCATCAGGCAGCTCGGACATATGAAAGCAATCCGGATCCTGGCAGTTAGGAGAGTCTGGCCTATCAAAAAGGACGCTTAGGACCTGTGGGTAAATATCCGTAAGGCCCTGAGCTAGAGTGAAGAGTTGCTCGATACAGACGGTGCGGGCGGCATTTTCGATGAATTTATCATGATATTCCCCAATTGGTCGATTCTTGGGCACATGGACGTGCGACACGGATGACAAAGTTATAGATACCTGATCAACCTCGACCGCCAGGGAGGTTAGCAGACGGATGTAGGTTGACCGTGGGTCCTGCGAAGCTGGCTCTGATTGTTCGACCTGTTGATCTGGTAGGGATTCTTGGGAAACTTCTGGGGGAGTGACTAAGGCATTTTCAAATTCCAAAGGAGGCCAGTCAAACTGCATATTCATATCCAGGTCGCCGTTCAAGTAGGTAAGATTAGAGGCCGGCAACGCGCGTCGAGTGCTAAGTCCGGCCGGGCTGAAGATACAAGTGGCACCGGCTTTGAGACATCTTGTGCAAGTTGCGACTCCAGGCTGCTTAGGACATTTGAGCTTCTGCGAGTGACAACGATCACAGCTCGATCTTAGTGGACGTGGCATATTGGCTGTCGTGTTGTCTACGTTTCATTCCGTAGCTAAATGTTTAATACCGTAGAATAGCACGCTGATAAACTCATTTGTAGGAGAGGACTTTGTGATGTTGAATGTGGCGGCGCATTGCTTTAGATCCGCTAATGCAATAAAAAGGCACCGGTGGGGAAAATGGAGGACGCGCCTACTAAGTGCCTAAAACATCAGCTCTCTTTCAGCTAAGGATCTCAATTCATAGCTCTCAATTCATAACGTGCATTAAGTTATCAACTAGCCTAACTTAGAATAGTATAACTTTATAAATTTCATTAGATGAGCATAAGTTTCTTAAGGATTTTATATCCAGCATACAATATTTGTTCAAATATTTCATTTTTAAAACTCACTTCTACATTCCTTTCAAAACTGTTTGCGAACGTTCCAACGTCATTCATCTCGAGTTCAATACCAATTGGCACGCATACTATTTAAAGCCTCATGCAGGCCGCCTCCTTGTAAAGCGCCTCGGGCCGGTGTTTGTTATAATTGACTCTAAATAACCTATCGCATGTGTTAATAAAATCTATAGATACATTTCCCCGACGCCCATAAAGCAAACAAGCCCTGCTGACAAACGCCACTAAAGAGTCAACAGGGCTGGTTGGTTTGGCAGGTGGGATTCGCGTACCTACATGGTGACCGGGCGACAGATCTATCACCAGATAAGGTCTTGCTGCCGCTGGTGCAGATGTCTCAAAGTCTTATCGCCTAGATCGTAGATGCGAAAGAGTCCTATGCGGCGGTTATATATCGCCCAACTTGGGAATCACTCATCTTCTTCCGCACTGTTTTTTGTCTCTTCTTATATTTCCTCCTCGTGCTTTATATTTTACTTCCTGCTACTCTTATGTCGTACCTGATTAAATAACTACCTAGGTATGCATATCGGTATTATGATAGTGATATTGCGTGGGGTTTAGGCAAGCCAATCGAATTTGATGGATCTCAGCACTGTAGGCGCTGTCGTCGAGGCTCTGGTTGCAACATACGCAGCCGGCCTAGAATACTACACCAAATGGCAACACCGAAAATGGCAGGAGAATCACTACGAGAATCATGCCAGAGGCAATATAGGCCGAACCAATACATGTGCTTTAAGCACGTCTTTGAGTTTCTCCCCAAGCAAAATTAAGGAGGCATTTGATAGTGGGGTAGACATCTTCGGCACTGGGTTCTCGGTTGGAGACGGTGAGTTACCTTGAATATAGTACTTTCACCTACATCTCCTAATTAGAAGATGCAGATGTATGCCGCGAGAGCTTAAAACGCGACCTCGAACGTCTACAGGAGCGCATATATGCTCTACGCAAAGCGACTCGTGCCGACAACGGCTCACTTGAGCTCTTCGAAGCTATTCGTGTGTCGGAAAGTGTTCGTATCTCCTGCTTGGCCGCGCTGGCTAGTCAATATAAACGAGTTGCCGTTGGCCGTCTAGTGCCACAAATCCTGCCGGGGGCCAGACGGCGGTCGAGACTTAGTGTTATAACGTCCGAAGAGGATATAGCCAATCCGGTCGCCGATAATAACAGTAGCAGTATTGATGGCGACACAGCCGGGTACGCACAGTCAAAATACGGCGGAGAAAGCCCTACCAAGCCGCCGAACTCTCAATCAGAACCACCGTCCCCGCCACTAACTCCCAAGCAAATTCCAGACGATCTTCAATCAATCCACACAACCATCACATCTGATTATGGTCCGCAACCAAAGAATAGCGTATTCAGCATGTTTTGCCCTGAGGCATTGGAATATCAAGTTAATCTTCGAAAAGAAATGCCAGATAATCAGAACTGCAGATGTGGGTATGATTGGAACGGAGTGCAGACCGAAGATAAGACCGCCTTCGTGGTGAAGGAAGGGTTTGAGATTACAGCCCGATTCCTCGGGAAATCACATTGCGACGACGGGTTTGGGTGTGTTTTATGTACCTCAAGCGGCAGAACAGAGAGGTACGCAAGGGTTGAAGATTTGAGGGATCACATTAACGCTTCCCACACTAAGTGGCAATTGCTTCACGATCAAGACATGGCCGGCCAATACGTAGGAAGTAGCAGTTCAACGGCTTCCCCTGCACTATCAGATTAACCGCCGTCTTCACTAAGTCCTTCTATGTTTATTTTTCAATCATTTTAGCAAGCGTTGTGAAAGTTCCGGCGTCGGTATTAGCTCTTCTGGTCATGTCATCAGAGATACCCAGGATAGTGGCTAGTTGTAAGTCATCATAAACAAACCCATGCATATATATACCCGATCTCGTTATTTTGGCCATTTCCTCCAGGTTGCACTATGTCTGAAATCAAGTATCTCACCCTCGATGCGCAACAGATGTGTAAATATCGATTACAGACTACCTACCAGCAGACCAGTAACATTATCGAATAGATAACATAGGTAGGTTAGGTAGGTATTAACAAAGTTAAAATTGGTCGAATCGGTAGATATGAATATATCATATTTATCATTTGCAGGTTGCTTCATAAGACGGTGTAATTAATTTTCCTCCATCACCAACACATGTTATCGGCATATGGGCCGAGAGAACCAACAACGTCTTACACCTACATATGAAAGTAACCAATAGCTCTAAACAGGATAGATTACCTAAAGCAGCTATCTGAATTCAAGAGTTGAAGTTCTCAAGTACGTTCAACCCCTGAGCACCCTAACCGTAACGGGATAAACAACATTCGAGGCGGTCCAACAATCCGTATTCAGTTATCCCAGGACGGTTTGGTATGTAATCAGGGTATCAAGCGGAGCCTCTATTGCTCCGAGCTACCTTGATCGTTGAATCTACCCCGGCATCACAAACCCAAAGTGCCTGTTCACAGCATAGCGATTACAAATTTCTAACCCCTATTCAACAACGTCAACTGCACGTACAACGAACGTAGACATAGTATAAATAAAGTATATGTTTCATCGTGATCCCAAAATGACGATATCACAATCAAAGAGCAATATTCCAAACCTAAACGCTTCAGTGACGTCACCATGGCCCAATCCACATCCCCCAAGAAATCCGTTTTCGTCACCGGCGCAAACGGATACATCGGCTCCGCCGTATGCCGGGCCTTTGTGCGCGCCGGCTGGCGCGTCTACGGGCTGATCCGGCGCCCCGAAGCAGCTGGCACTTTGTACTCTGAGGAAATCATCCCCATCATCGGATCCATCTCCACAGACGCCACGTTCCCGGCGGACCTAGCCAAGCACACCAAGACCCTCGACGTCATCGTCTCCTGCACAGAGCAAATCCCCTTCGGAGCGCACTACGACGCCGCCATCTCCCTCATCCGCAAACTCGCCGCGACTTCCAACGCACACGGCACCCGCCCCCTCGTCCTCGCGAGCTCCGGGTGCAAAGACTACGGGACAACCGGCACCCACGGGTCCCCAGGTCTCGCCCCGCATACCGAGGCCTCGCCGCTCCAGCCCATGGACATAATAAAAGAGCGCGCGTTCGGGTGTCCCAAGATCTTCGAGCAGAAAGACTTATTCGACGCGGCGCTCCTGCGGCCCACGCCCGTATACGGCTACGACAGCAGCTACTACGGCCTAGCCTTCGAGCTCGCGGCCTCCGCCGCGCGGACCGAATCGCGCGTCTTGGAAATCCCGTTTGATTTCGGCACCATTATCCACGGGTGCCATATCGACGACTGCGCGGAAGCCTACGTCGCGCTTGCTGAGCACGCGGACCGGGATGCGGTTGCGGGGCAGTGCTTTAATATCTCTGCTGCGCGGTACGAGACGCTGGCCATGATTGCCGAGGCGCTGAAGGTTGAGTACGGGCTGCGCGATGTAGTGCGGGCGCCGAATGGGGTTGAGGCCGATTTGTCGGCGTACGTTGCGCTGGGCCATAGCCAGTGGGTTGACAGTAGCAAGATCCGGCGATTGACGGGGTGGACGGACAAGAGGCTGCCGTTCTGGGAGGGCCTGCATGTGTATCGCATGGCGTATGAGGAGGCGGCTCGGAGGGGCCACGAGGGCGTGCTAAGGGTTAAGGAGAGGGTTGGGAATGTGCATCGCATGGCGTACGAGGAGGCGGCGCGGAGGGGACATGAGAAGCGATAAATATCTATATTACCTAGGTGCCTAATCTCTAACCATTAGAATATGCAATTCTTGGACGCAAAGAAAAGATGTATATAGTAGCCGTTGAGAAACATTATTTTCGTCGTCGATCCTGACTCAACTCCTCACGCCAAGCCGCGTCCAATTCACTTCTGTCTTTTCCAATGTTGATACTTATAGTTCGATGATGACTAGGTACCTATTATTGCTTCTTTACACTTGTAGAGAACGTGACTGTATGGTGTGGTATGGTGTGTACTAACATAGCCCTCCTAATTATATCGGAATGAAAGGGAATATGTATTTCCGTCGTCCCGTCGTCCCGTCGCCTTACACTGAGAACTGTTAGGAATAGACGCAAAAGTTAGGACTCTAGGGGTAACAAAGGGAAACGAGTAGCTATAAGTAGTCGCGGTATGGCTGGCGGACTGTAGGCGATAGGTTTAGAAGTCTTAGGCGTGTATTCTATGCGTAAGACGTATGTGTGTGAAAGAAGGGGCTCGCGGAGAGGTTTACCTTAAACTATTTCGTCTAGTAAACGATCTCGGGTGAAAATTTTGATATCCGTTCCTCCCGGCCTCCCGGACACAATTAGGATAAAGAAGATATTGATAGACAACCGAGCCATGCTGTATATGACTGTAATGTTTTTCAGCCGGGTTTATAAATTACCAGTCCGTCCAAGTGTCCCCGAATGAAACACATACAACGCCCAGCCGGGAGAGGGCCCACAAGGCAACGAAGTGAAACGTAAGTAGTACAAAACTCCCTCTTAAACCCCAGCTCCAATGTGACAAACCAGGTTCAACATGCCCGTGCTGTTCCCTTTCGTGGCTAGACAAGACTGTATCACTCCGCAAAGGTATGCCAAGGTCAATTCCAGCTAGGCCGAGAAGGGGTACCCCGACCCCGAGACTCATGGTAAAGGGCCAACATGCCCTAGCGATTGATACGACTTTGACTAGAAATATAACTAGCCGAAGGGTAAATATTACTGAGTAAGCGTGGCGACGAGCGAGATAAACTAAGCTACCTCGGGTCTGCTGCTCTAATGTTCCTAATGCACCGGCCGGGGGTGCCAGTAATAGTGATGTATGTAGAGTAGGAGCTGGCTGCGAATGGACAATCCCAGTAGCACGGCCGCGCTCTGGGGATGAACGTAGAAGATCTTCATGACTTCGTGATAGGGTCATAGCCTGCGGACGGTGCCGAGGTGTCCGAGGTGTGCTAGGCGTGCCATACTTTTGAAGGCTGCTACGGTAGTCTATTTCCGGCGCATGACTCGTCGCTGGTGAGTTTCCCTCGCTAGGGGATGTCACAACTTCCTCGGGGACTAAAATGTTACGATGGTGCTTCTGAGGGTCAGGAACGGGGGTACTGGGAGGCATAGGTGAGTCAAGGTTTTGAATCCGTCGTCCCTGGAGACCGATAGAAGGGCTTGTACTTCGCCCTCGTAGGCCGCCATGATATGATTCGTGATTCATAACACTCAGTACTTCCGTGGCGCTGGGTCGTTCAGCGGGGTTGAGAGCTAGCATCTTCTTGAGTAGCTTGTAGAGCTTCGAAGGGAGGTCAGGCCGCTCCCGCTTCTCGTCTCGGAAGCCCTTCCAACCAGCGATTTCTGCTCGGAGCAGGTCAATGTCCTCGAGTTCTTCCTGAACGGCATTGGCATTCACATAGGGAAGTCGACTAAAGCATAAGAAATACAGAACCATGCCCAGCGAGAACACGTCAGACTTGGTTGTAAAATTACCAAGACGACCTTCGGCATCTCTCTTTAGGACCTCCGGGGCACAATAGGAGATTGTGCCGGTTGTCCCCGTCGAGTTTCGGATAGCATTTTCGGGCTGTACTTCGCCAAAGTCGCTGATTAAGCAGGTAAGCTTCCCACTTTCATGATGTAAGAGGCAATTGCTAGGCTTCAAGTCACGGTGAATGTAGTTGGCACCGTGGAGATAGGCGAGGCCAGAGGTGATGTCTTTGAAGAGGGAATATATCTCCTCGAACGATAGACGGCGTGAAGAGGGGAGAAGGCTATGGGGTTCATCAGCAGCGCCCCTTGACTTGCGGCGCATCCGAGCTATAAGTTCCTCCTTTGTAGATTGCTTGGGCTCATCCCCAACGACATAGCGTAATAGGTCGCCGCCGTTGCAGTACTGTTGGAGGATGAAGGCGCAAGCGACGCTTGGTCCGAAGCGGGTCGTCTTCACGTCCTCCAGCCAGACATGCCGATAAGACACTAGATTAGGGTGCGAGAGCTTGGCGAGTAGCTCGACTTCTATTAAGACTTTCTCTAACCATGCATGATCGTCCCCCACGGGAACCCGCTTACACGCGAAGTGGCCAAGAGCACAACCATCAATCTCGTGGCGAACTAGCAGTACGACACCCTTGCCGCCCCGGCCGAGTTCCCTCTCCTCGACAAAGAACCTCTGAAAGTAATTAGGACTGAATGCATCTCTTGTTATACGTGCTCCCTCCTTGGGGGTGGGCGAGCTCGATATGAACTCAGCATCTTCGACTTCTTGGGGTCTCGGACCACCGCTTGGCAATGTGGGTTGTGTTAGTCGACGTATGGGACTCGGTGGAGGCTGCCGTTGAGCATGCTGCGCATCTTCGTCATGCCCTGCTTGGAGCATGCGAAAATAGTTTGGGTCGACATAAGATTCAGGTGCTTGAGTTGAGGAATCGAAGTGTCGGTCGGGTGAGGGTGGACGAAGAGACTGGTGGCAAGTGGGACATTCTGTTATGGTGGCGCCTCGAATCTCGAGGCGTTGCGACGAGGGATCACGGACAACGATAGCATTGCGATATCGTCTAAGACACAAATATATTTAGCAGCATAAACTAGGGGGTTATAACATATTGAACACGTTGATAATGATAATGATAATAATAATAATTCAGACTCGGTCCTCTTTCTCTCTCCAACTCAAACTGAGATGACCGGTCATCATAGCGGGGCGTCGTAAATGGGAAAAGGGAATGACGTACAACACAATTTCACGACCGTCTCGAGCCGTATACGGAATCAACTCCATTACGCGACAGCTAGACAGGTACCATTTGGTAATAGCGGAGACTGAAGAGACGTGATGATCATGAGTATTCGCAGTTCATATTCATCATTTTATACTATATAGATAAACTGGTAAATGAAGTATGTGGTGTGAAAGGAACTGTCCTTCGTGAATCAACAAGGTGTATGCTTTTCTTTTTTCTTTGGTATGATATGATTTTTATTTGGTTGGACAATGGATCCGGGAGATGCAATGGGGTGATGTATTGAATTCTAGCGGCAAATCAGATAGAAAGCGCCTTCCCCAGAATTAGGTACGCTAAACCTTCCATGTCAGCTGCTTTCCAAGCCCTTCTTACCCGTATTGTTAGGTACATTAGGAGGCACCTACCACCTACCACCTACCTTCGGGTGGTAAGTTCTCGCCTTCCGTTGCAAGACCCTTGCTGTTATGACGTAAAGATGTAAAAAGGTAAACATATTAGTTTAGCGAACCACTGTTGTTTTTAATTCAATCCAGCTGTAAACATATCCACGTATCACAATTCAGGATACACATGCCAGAGCCCCCGAGCGACAAGGTTTCACTATACTTCCTATCACCCGATCCATTTCTCGATAGTGTCTCTCATAGTTGATAGTGGACTTTGTATATCAACCTCTGGTGTAGCCGTTTCCCGCCTAACCGCATCGAATGGTTCTTGTCCAACAATTTCGTCTTCAGAAAACCAAGCACCGTGTAAACCGTAAGGTACTCGTTGAGGTAGCCTAATTCTTGCTACAATGTCTCTCATGTTTATCGCGTTAATAATCCAAAGCTCGCTAACAGCGTCATCGCGGCATTCCCCTTTATCATCAAGCTGGGACTCGTCAAACACATAAGTAAGCAACCAACCGTCATCCTCCGTCGCGGGATTTGCACGCGGTACAAAACGCGGTTCTTGTGCGAACCAACCTTGGGGCATTTGGAAAAGCTTTACCGGATCATTTTCGTCTGTGCTCTGCATTACCTCGTCAACGCCTCGGGTATCAACACAACCTTTGATCTGTTGCGGTGGATGAGTAATGCCTTGGTCAATCAGCGTCGTTGCGTCCATCTTTGCTAGGTACGCGATTTTGGCCCCTTTTCCGAGGGCTGCAGAATAGGACATGCCACCCGTGCTGCAGCCATATATGTAGCGGGCTGAACTCATGGCGTGAGACGGTGATACTGTCGGGAATTCAAAGGGAATTGCTGATAAAGCCCATTGATTTCTGATCATCGGTAGCTCGCCCGATTCCGTATTGACGAGCGGAAAACTATAATAGTATAGCCTGCATTGCTCCTCTTCGAAGTATTCTGGGGGTACCGGCTTAAGCAGAGGCGGTGTAAGTGCACCGGCACTGTACACAATCGATGCTGAAGTGAGACGGCAAACAAGAAGGTGAACGCACGTCTCGACTTCTGGTATTACCAAACCAGTTTCCCAACAATTGGCCGTGTGAAAGATTACGCACGGATTCGTTTCGAACCATTGTATCTTATGTGGCTCATATCGAGGAAAGACGCCATACCGCGATCGCTCAGTTGGGTCGTACGAAATAATTGTTTTCCCTCGCACGCTGTTCATAGGATCCAGAGATAGGGGAAGGTCAATTATGACTGTGTGGCGTGCCGCAACCCCAAAGTCGTGCATCATCTTAGGCGATTTCACTCCAGGAACTGGTATGTCAAATCTCGGTCCTGGATCACTCGCCTTAGCTGGGTATCTGGTTGATGGGACTATCGAATAGTAAACGAACGGCTTAATGAAGACGGCATGGAATGAGATGAGCTCCTTCGTAATAGGGTCAACGTGTGGATGACCAGTTGTCCATTCTCTCATAAACGCCAGCAATCCATTCCCACCGAAGCCCACTTTATCGTCTAAAATACCCTCGTTCTCTGCCTTTCGACCGTTATACCACCCTATGGTCTCTAGACTAGGGAGATGGAATCTAATCGGTGGCCCACTTTCGCAGGTCGCCAAAGCTCTACCATCGTGATATATCACGCCAGTATTAGCAACACTAATCTTCTTGACGGCTCTTTTAGATCCTGGTAATCTCGATAGGCATATGAGAATCAATGACCTGAGTACCGCCACAATGATAGCTACTAACGGAGCGCTAAGTAATGTTGCAATACTAGGTAGTAGAGGCCGCTTCAAATTGTTGCCGTCCTTTGCGTTCAAGTAGATATCTGTCAAGACGTACTGATTCACGAACTCTGGCTCGATATTACCGCGCTCTTTCCCACGCTTAAAGAGGACGCCGGTGAGCATGCCATCGCCGTCGAACCAGTGCAAATCTCTCCCTTGGTTGTCATTGATAGTCGGATTCCCGCCGTTACGGACATATTGACCTCCCGCGAGTTCTCTCGGAATATGTCCGGTATTAGAGCATCGTGTTAGTATTCGAGTTCGTTTGATAGGCGCAAAATTTCCAGACAGATACCTATATTCAGTCAGCAATGAGTATTAGATGTTCCTTCCAAGCTCTATCTAAACACTTACGGGTGTGAATTTTGTTTCTGTCCTGTCATGCTTTAGCTGATTCACATACATATAGACCAACTATTAAAGGATGTCTAGTAAGATCGTATGGAAACGACCAGTCCTAACTACGACAGTTCCGTGCTGACTTTGGACTACGCCAATAATATAAGGGCTAGCGTTTAGTATAGTTTGAATCGGGATCCAACCTATACAAATCATGCTAATTCTGACTACATGTAGGTTTCATCGGCCGTCCCTCTATATTTGGCATCACCTGTACGGGCGAAGTATAATGTGTCATGGGATTACGATGACGACATACACCAAAAACAACAGAGGACGATAGCTAGGTACACAGCAAGGCGGTTTTACGAACAATCACCTAATCTACGAAGTAAAACTTACAAGACCTTAAAAACCTCACCAACACTTCTCATCCCTCGGAAATGAACCATGAAACACCCAAACAGCCCATGATGCAATTACTTCAATGCCAAGGTAAATAGTCTGGCATTCCAACTAGCGGAAAGACAACCGCACTTGAGGACGGTGAAGTATGATCATATGGATGTTCAACTAAAGCGTCACAACTCTTCGAGGAAATGTATGAGTAGTACGACAGAGGGAACATGTTCCATTCCCTACCGGTCTTAAACTTCAGCCCTGCAACATGGATCTAGAGGTAAAAACTTTGAGAGGGGCGTTGTGAAATAGCTGCTTCTATCCTTCAGTTGGATGATATCACGAATTCCGCGGCCGGCTAGCTCGGGGGGCTAGAGATAGACAGCACTACTGTCAAAACTCAAATCTCGTGACAATAAGGAGCTCTATTTACCTAATTCGCCTTATATCCACTTGTCAGTATGCACCGACACGCGCGATTCTGTGGTACACTGGCCATATAATTAAATATACTACCCCCCTGGTCATGTTCGAGTCAGCTTCTAACCCCTGAACATATCCCAGCCTAGAGAACCCTGAAGTAATAGGGCGCCCTCTCATGTATGCAGCAGAGTTTCCTTAGAGTTTCCTTGTTACCCGATCTGAAGTTCATTTGAACGTCAGCTTAGGTTGTATCTTCCTTGATTGAGAGTTCGTCATACATTCACAGGGACATGGTTAGCACCTTGTAAAAAGGAGACAGTCTAGTAGGTTCTCAAGATTGCAGCAACATGACATGATCGTGTCATCTACTGATGTGCTCTACGAGATAATGAAGTCACCATTGACAAGATTGTCCACGCTTCCATCTGGGTTGGATATTGCATTCAAATATCCTGTTGTGCGTCCACGTAGAGACAGTGTCGGCCTTCAACCATTAACTAAGAATCAGACACATATCCGCATTCTATAATTCACCTACTCTACCACTATTCGAAACTGCGCTGCGCATATTACCACTAAAATGTCTGGACCTGGAAATCAAGCAATTAACATCAATAGGGTCGTTGGCGAGCATGCCAATTTAGAAATCACCCATCACGGTTCAGATTGGTACTATGCAATATGTGCCTTGATGGGTTTCTGTACTCTCCTCTTCATGGGCCTATCTTTCATGAAACCTCGGGGTGATCGTGTATTTCACTACATCACCGCGGGTATAACGGCCATCGCATGTATCGCTTATTACGCGATGGGGTCAAATCTCGGCCAAGTTCCCATTCAGGCTGAATTCGTCCGACCCGGTAGACACTTGGTGGGAGCGGCAGGAACCCGAGAAATATTCTACGCCCGCTATCTAGATTGGGTTGTAACTACACCTTTGCTACTTCTCGACCTTCTCCTGACTGCCGGAGCACCAACTTCAACGATTTTAGTCACTCTTTTTGCCGACGAGATTATGATTATTACTGGCCTAATCGGTGCTCTAACTCGAACTCGGTTCAAGTGGGGATTTTGGGCCTTCGGCGCGGCGGCTCTATTATTTATTGTTTATGAACTGCTGGTCAACGCTCGACGACACGCTTCGATTCTAGGTGGAGACGCGAAGAAAACGTTTCTGCTATGCGGCAACTTTCTTATATTGATTTGGTTCTTGTATCCTATTTGCTGGGGTCTGAGCGAGGGTGGCAACGTCATTCACCCTGATGGAGAGGCCGTATTCTATGGTGTTTTGGATGTCCTAGCCAAGCCCGTCTTCGGCGGCCTCCTCATCTGGGGTCACCGCAACATTAGCAGTTCACAGCTAGGTCTACGCGTCCATAATCGCGGCCATACCAATGGCGAGAAGTACAATCATGGTGCCGATATCCACCCCGAAGGCCTTGGGGCAAATGTCGGTGGCCCTACTACTACTACTACCACCACTAACGACCATCCCACTACTACCAATACCGCCGTATGAGCTATAATTTTGGTATCAAGAAGAACGACCAGCCGTCGTCGGCCGTGTGAGAATCAGCCCTATTTGACCTAAATATACTTGAATATTGTATCGTCACTTGAGGCCGCTACTGATTATCTTCAACTCGCTACCGCCATTATGTTGTCAACTTGGGGGTTAGATGTAGATATTCGCAGCATGTTGGCATATGATTACATGACCAGCGGAAGTAATTATAGCTGGCACGCAGTTCACTAATAAGATGGAGAAAAATCTAGAACCATCATATTTCATATACTTAAACCTAGGCAGTAATAAGAACAAACATATCATGCCCGCAACATTGCTGGTAATCTCCAAATGCTACAGTCTTCAGAGTTTTCAATATTAAGTACGGCGTTTTATTTCCACCCGCCCACCTACCTTCCTACCCTTTCTCTCTGTAGAAACCGCTCTCTTTGATAAACCTATTTCCGTACTTGAACCCGTCGAAAAACCTACTCCGCCAAAGACACTCCCTAGGCCGAAGTCAGGCTCTCCGCCTAGTGTGCCAAGGATATCCCCTATGTAGTTCGTCGCCTTGATTCCAGCGTCGTATGAAGAGTTCCAGCCAGCTATAATGCCTTTCACGATCTCAACTCCTGCCAGATAAATGTTCTTAACCGCGATGTCAAAACCGTTTTGGTCCAGAAGGCGTAGATGCTGAAAAGCACTGACTGATGGCGGGGGTCTGTCGAAATCAGAACCTTCAACATGTTAGTTTCTCCACTCGATAGGACGAATAGGTGTAAATTAGGTACGCACCAGTTCTCATCAAAATAACCCGCGAGAAGTCAACAAGACCCCAGACTGCAGCCCGCATCAACGCATTCAAAACAGCAGTATCTTCCTGCGCTGAGACACAATACGTTATGCTGCTCTGATTCGTCCAGAGTTTCGTCGTGTTCTCAAACGCCTCGCTCAGCATAGTACCAGAGTAATAAACATCGCTAGTCGCCGAGTCGCACTTAATAACGCTGGGTCCCCCCGTCGCAGCCGCATATACCTCGCCGCTAGCACCGTACAATGCGCGATACTTGGCGCTTTCTGCGGAATCAACCAACTGTGCTCCGCGTGCGAGCTCGGCAGCGGCATCTCGGAGGTTCTCGTTCACCTCCATGACCTCGGTGCCGTAGAAAATCGAGGGGTACTCGTCCGGCGCGTACGCGCCGTACGACAGGTACCCGGTGGAGAAGTTGGCGGGCATCTCGCGCGCGTCGAACTCGTACTGCAGCGCGACTTGCACGGAGAACTTGGACAGCGCGACGCTGCCCAGCGTGCCGAGTTTGGGGCTTATGCCGGCGATGCCGGCCATGAGGAAGTACGTCTTGCTAAGGTCGAAGAGGCTGGAGAAGAGGAATGCCGTGGCGGATGTTGCGGCGTTGATTTCTGCCTCGCCCATTGTGAGCTGGCATACTTCTCCGAGTGCGTTGCAGTGCACGTATGGGAATAGGGGGGAGAGCCCCGGCACGGAGATGTTGTGGGCGAGGAGGTTGCCGAGAGAACTGTTGGGCGAGTTCGTGTACCATATTTCTGCTTCTGGGGTGAACTATGGTTTTCATGTTCGATTTTAGCTACATATCTTTTAGGTATGTACTGGGATATGAATTCTCCGTCCGCGAGACGGAGTAATCATAGGGGAAGGACTCCAAGACTTACCATGCTGATGATTACGACCTTGGGTGTTATTTTACCACAGTCGCCCAGATTCTTCGTCAAAGTCGCGTTATTGACGCAGTCCGAGGCTCTGGTGGAAGCATGCACATTCCTAGCCATCGACCGGGCCTCGCCCAACAGAGCGATTAAGACAAGATTCAATAGCAACATGATATTAAACATATCAATAGAAATTACTACATATGTGAAGTAAGTTATCTACATTGAAAACAGCTTCCAAAAAGCCATGAACCTTAACAGGAGGTATTTATCTAGTAGCACTTCGGGTCCTCGACGACCAAGCGATGACGGCGAGGCTTATCATTAGATGCTCCACCGGAGCCGAGACCTTCGGCTTTCTACATAGATTGAGTGCTGAATTGCAGGTGCCGATTTGGCCGGTTTTGTCTAGCGGGAATTTTTATCTTCTTCTAAAGAATGGTGATGGCTGTTTATTCGACAGTACCTGCGTTATATATCTTCGTATAACAGTGGAGTACCATCTTATCTCGCATAGGGTTCCAATTGTTGTCTCTTTATGGTCAAGACCATCGTATACAGGCGATAGGTGGCTACCCAAAGAGGAGCATAGTTGAAAGAGGCGACAAATAGGAACGATGAAGACTAAGACATTTTGGACCTTTCCGTGGTTTTTTATCTAGCCCCCACAACAAGTTCTACGACACAAAGACATGCATACATCTAACTATAGTTACTCAAAATACAATCAGAACTTTACATCATTCTGTTAGTCATTAATTTGGCCCATGTATCGTTATACGTATGATCCTCGGCATTTTCAATTTCGTTTAAAGAGCTTCGACGACTGAAGCGAGGATTCCATAGGCACTAGTTCCTTCAGGGGTCGCTTAATACGTCTATAGTAGGGGTAATTAGAAAATAATTTATCATCTACTTTTCGACGCTGCGCACAGGAAGATAAAGCTAGAGCATGTATAAGTGGAAAAAAAAAATAGGGCAGGCTTTTACACCAACTCCACAGGCCGCTCCCCATCTCCACTTGCGTCAGTCTCTTGGGACATCTTATCCTTGGGCTTAGGGCTACGGTATACGCCCAGTGTCAACACAACCAACACTTTAAAAGCAAAAGGCTGTGGGTTATCAACTTTTGCCTCCGTCACTTCTGTCACTCCATCGCGTGTGAGGTGTGTTCTGAAATTAGCGGGAAGGAAGCGACTCGGGTCCATGGCATTCCACATGAGCATATTAATGAGCATGAGAAAGGCCTCAAAAATGTAGAAAGGCCACTCGGTATTAGCCACAGCCAGTACGGAGTGTTCTACGCCACGGTAGATCGTTCGCATCAGGATGAGTCCCATGCTCACGTATAGCGTGGTGAGAGAGTACCGAATACCCTTAGCCCCCGCGATGCCGGCCCGCATACAGCGCAGGTGGAAAGATCCAGCAAGGACTAAGAAGAACACGATGATAGCGAGCTGAAGGGCCAAAGCTGCCCACATCAAAGCAGTGCCCGTCTCAGGATCGCTTTTCGGGTTCGCTATGAAAGAAGAGGCGACTCCGTTTATCCCTTCTATCACTATGGAGAGAAAGGCGAACGTCGAGAGCACCATCCCCGGCTCCATCGGGGAGAAGTAGGGCACGTAGTAGAAAACCCGAGCGAGGATTTCGTAATTGGCGAGAGATAGGAGTGGTCTAGATTATAACGGTCCTGTCAGTACGATGTATCCCTCCATTTCACTTGAGCAGCGCAGGTAAGGCAGTACACGTACGGGCTAACGCAAATGAGCGCAACGCTCACGACAAACGGACCCAGCTGGTCCCAGTTCCCAAATGCGCCGTTAACCCTGAATGCGAATCCGATGACATAGAGTAAACCACCAGCGACGAAAAGTCCTGTCACTCTGAAGAATTTTTTGCGACTGGGGTAGCGGGCGAACGTTGGTTAGTTTCAGACATAGTCGAGAGATGATATTAAAGACTACTCACTAGCATTGCCAGAAATGTATCGCCGCCGAAATGAAGAAGGCAATTGTGAATATAATGGCCGCAGCTCTATTAGGGGGGTATATCCAAAAGTTGATACCCGCTGCATTAGACAAGAGAGCCGTTAATTTTGAGTGGAAGCCTCCATGGCAATATACAACGTACCGTACGGATTGGCCATGGCTATATAGGATACAAGATAGGAAGAAAATAGAGAATTGGCGTGTAGATATCCTATCCCTTTCCGATTTATCCTTGTGACTTCTCTAGGGAGTTGCGTTCAGGTTCCGATCGGGGTTTAGGGGTTTTTAGCTCTCCCGAAAGAACAGAGATGATATTTAAAGGTCAATAACAGGTACGAAATATAAAACGAAAAAGCCTAACTACCTCCTATTTCTAGAGATAACCGGCCTTATTACCTATAACTAAATCCCCTCAGCTCATCATGTGCATATGCACGCGACCGCCCGAAGCCGCGTATATATGCACCACCACCATGGAACTCCGGGTCCCTAGGCCCCCGAAATGCCAACACGGATCGTCTGATTGAAGGCTAGGTAGTTACGCCTTTTCCCCAGTAGAAAGCATTTACGAACGAAGACAATTCCCTGGTCTCGTATTATCATTCCACTTCTATCTGACGTTTCTAGAAGGCTATTTATCAAAGCCGGCTAGTCGTTGAAAAATATAGGTGTGATGACGTGGAAGAAAACCCCCTAGTGTTCGATCGAAGTAAGATGACCTTGGTCAACCATCATCCGTTTTCGTAGTCAACTCGAACGCTGCACCGCCATAACATGCCTGTTTAGCAGCGTTGGCGTTTGTGCTATGTTCAAGAGCGAGCTTCAAGATCCTAACATTAAGTAAACATGTAGTCTTCAGAGCTTACTACATGTATTCATGTGGGCCAAGAAATTGTAGGAAAGGAGATACTGTTTCACGATGAGGATCTCGCCATCAACTCTTTTATCTTCTCCTTGCAGCCGAAATGGCCGTTCCTTTCTGCATACCGCATAGCACTCTCATATTGCTTATTGTCGAAAGGATCCCAGGGAGCATTCCAGAGAAGCTCTATCATATCGAGACGGCCGTTCTCGGCCGCGCCCTCCAGAGGCCAACGTCCGCGTCTTCCAAAAGGTGGGGGTATATTATATTCAGCTCCATGCTCTATGAGAATCGTTGCCATCTCGCAGTTGCCCCGGATAGCTGCGAATTGTAGCGCCGTACCTCCATCGAACATTGAAGGTTTGCCGTTGACTCTAGCGCCGTTACTAAGCAGCAAACGAACGATGGGGAGGTTGTTCATTTCAGTAGCTTTCTGGAGAGGAGTCCGTCTTATACCGTACATCGCTGGCTTGTTCACATCCGCGCCATTATCAATGAGGAGCTGTACTATTCCTACGATCCCATTCTTGATGGCAGTCAAAAGTGGTGTTGTCATGACATAACCATCTGAGTGCATATTATCCCGTTCAACGCTATTGACTTCACTACCAGCATCAATAAACTTTTTGACAACGCCAGGATTCTCTGTTTCGATTGCCCTAAGAAGCAGAGTTTCCCGGCCTGGGTATGCTTGGTAGTTGACATTCAACCTTACAAGATCCCAAGCAAATACCTGGTCAAGAAACTCAGGTGACTCCAAGCAGTTACTAAGTGCATCGTGGACAATCCCCTGGCCATATCCAGCACGACCTTGCGGGAAAGCTTTCCAAAATCGGTCTAGAAGTGGCCTAACCATTGAAGGATGATACTCGATGGCTATTTCTAGGACGTCGTCATTATCCGCACGAGCGCCGAGTGAAATTAGTTTTTCAAGTACCGATCCATTTTCACACTCTACCGCAATTTGTAACGCCATGCTTTTCCTGTGTTGAGGACCAGATTTGACCATGTTCAAGAACAAGTCCACATGTCCTTTCTCTAGTACGAGTCTCAAAAGGCGATCTGAGGGGAATATTAGACGAGGACAAGCTTTCAAAATATCTTCAAAGACTGAGTACTCGCAGTATTCAATGGCCGCTTCTAGAATCCGCCATTCCTCATTGGAAGACCCACGTAATATATCGGGATCGCAGCCAGTTTCCATAATGATTTTTATAAAGTCTGGTCTCTTTCTTACCACCGCGACGTATAGTAACGGAGCCGGACGTAGGCGCCGAAAGAATGGCATTTGGGTTGTAACGCCGACAGCAAGGAGCTTCCAAGCAATATCATTGAAAAAATCATGAGCCAAAGCGGCATCCATAGCATCGGCCACATTAAAACGCTGGCTATCATCCAGGTCAAGATCCATGGGTTCGTAAAATTCGAAGTCGGGGTCGAGATCTAATATTTTGGTCGCGTATTCCAAGTTTCCGGCTTTGAGAGCCGCCGTGAGCGCTTGGCCGAGCCTATAGCCTTGGAGATGACTGAGAACGCCTTTTTCCTCCAAGGAACGAAGGCGACTGTGGTCTCCAGACCTGAGAGCGGAGATAAAGGTCTCGCTGTCTTTTGTATCCCCATCTAAATCAAGATCTTCATCTAGGCTTGGATCCTTTTGCAGTATTAATTCGACAATTGTCGGATATCCAAACTCCACTGCCGTCTGGAATGATTTATCTTTACCCGGAATTGATGCATATGGAAACATGATTCCCACCAGCTCGTCATACCCACGCATCGCAGCCTCGTTTAAGGCATTGTCGACATGTAGATAAAATTTAGACAAGTATCGGGCTCTGCCTAATTTTTGGCAATTATTTATGATAAGCTTGATGATGCTCGTCGCATACTCTTTCTCGAGGTTCTTGATGATCTCTTCGAGCAGATCCTTGTGCGAAATGAGCTTTTGAGGTGCTTGGGAAGCAACGTTCTCAATGAGACGAATTGCGAGCCGTGGATCAATAAATCTAAGTGCCGCCTGGATAGTATCTATCAATATGGCGGCTCCGGTCCCCAAGAAAACATCGACTAAACTCAAAAAATTGTCGTCAAGTGTCGATCGGCGATCATCCAAGTGATGAATTAGCAAGTGTAATGCATTGAAATGGTATTCCCTTCGAAAGGATTTATTTATGTCGACCCCTTCGCTAATGAGAAGCCTGAGGACTTCGAACGATTGGCTGACTGCAGCAATTTCAAGTGGTGTGTATTTTTCGCCATTACAATGATACACAGCTTCATTTGCATCGACCAACCTAGTGCTAAGCAAGTACTTGACCACCTCAGTATTGTCGGTTTGCAAATATAGCAGGAAAAGTTTCTCGGCGAATGATTTGGCCTCGGGACTTGATTGAATGTTCAAAATCCCGATCACCGCTTCTTGCATGGCACGATGTCTATCCAAGACCCCCAGAACACCAGAGGCTGGCACATTCTCGAGACCCGCAAATCCGTTGATGATTGACGCAATTAACCTGCCGTCAAAGCGAGCCTCAAGAGCTATACTGGCCGGTTTGCTCTCAACCAGACTCCAGTCCTCTCCAGCGAAGTTCTCTACAGAGTAGAGGCTCTTAAAAATATCGAAAATCGGGGAGGGCGTCGGGCCTCTGGAAGTTGGGTCTGATTTAGTCATAGCATTCGAGAATTTCTCGAGAAGTCTGGGATCGCTAGTCTTCGCCAAGATGCCTATCGAAAGTGGCGGTGTTAGCTAGAATGAAATGATCGATCTATATAATTCGTTTCGGTCTCGACTTACCCTTGATAACCGTAGTCACAAGCTGGCTAGAAGGTAATGATGGTAACCAAAGCAATCGACTATTCCGATTCGCTTGAAGGGGGTTGATGAGAACAGGTCCGACGGGGAGGGGGGCGCCGCTGCAGGGTGGGCTTGCATCCCGGATGAGGTTGTCAGGCCCGTGTAGTGAAGGGTTGAAATTAGAGAAATCTGCCGTGGGTATATCGTGGTCGATGGCGATAGAATCCCGGTTAGGCGATATAAGTTGCATGTCCTGACTCGACCTGACGGCATCCATCTCTATATCAACAGCTGTAGCGACGGCCGTAACGTCATGGTTACGTGAAACTAGGTAGATGTAATCCAGTTAGTCTACAGAGGGTTACGTTAGTTACCTATGTATTAACAATGTCACGAACCCTGTTCCTCTCCCCGGTGTATTCTGCATGTATAGCGACGCTGGGCTCTCTGGAGTTTCGGTCTTGAGATCGTCTGGTTAATCCGAATTATTTCTCCTCCTTGCTGCGTATCATGAATAATTCTTTCCCATTCAGCTCGCTTTATGTTTTTGCGAACCCTCCATTTTCGGAACCTATGTTCATATTGTGGAACCCTTGCGAGGCATTAATCGAGTTATTCGATTCCTTAGATATACGATTGAACTTGATACCAAGAGATACTTACGTGGCGGTGAAGTCTTCTTTCGCCATCGTCTCGATAACACCATCGTGCCCCTCAAGCCTACGTCCGAGATCAATATACAGTTCGCATATACGGAGCTTGCGATCCTCCCATTCTCTATCCGTGATTCGTCGGGTTTCTGGTGAGGTAGGCATCGTGAGTTAGACCGTAGAGATCTGGGTAGGAGACATCTAATTTGGATACGGCACCATCTTATACAAAGCCTGATATCAAGCCACCAGGTAAGGAAGGCTGTCGGTCTTAGTCAGACTTCGACTTAAAGCCCCTGCCCCAATGCAAGCGCCGAGCCTTGATGGCTCTATGAGGTTAAATATTGGAGGTTGCATCAGGTTTTGCCTTCGGGTTGTCTTCAGGTTGTCTTCAGGTTTTGCCGTCAGGTTTTACTGTCAGGTTTACCGTTTACCAATACCACAATGCAAGGTACTGGGTACATTTTAGTAACCATTAGAATCCCTTAACATAGCAAGTACATATGACTCGACCACCATAGCGTATTATTTCGGGGAGGGTTCCTGAAAAAGGTGGGGGTATGCGACTCGCTACCGAATATCTGCTAGGCATGGAATAGGTGCGTGACGAGTACAATACCTCCTATACTTCAAACTCTGAAGGCTATCGAATGCGAGCCCGTCAGCTTTAGACAATCAGGTTATGTTACGACGTCCAATAGCTCCAATAAACTTGCTACAATATGAGCCTTTTTCATGAACTATTTCATGATGAAGATAACGATCAGCCGGCAATATGTTAATTACCTACCTAAGGTACCTCGTGATAATACAGCCTGTTAGGAGTTCAGACAAAACATCTAGAACAAAGCACACTTTCAGTATGTATAGCTACGGTATTCCGTAGCTACCTATTTTTAGAGCCCCTTGCGGAAAAACGAGGTTATTTTCATGCTTCTTGCTCCACCTTGTGATAGAACCTGAACTCAAGTTGAGAGTTCAGGTTATGTTAACTGGATGTAATTACATGAAAAGGTTCTCGACAATATGCGCCTCCAAGAGACAGATTAGATTTGTATAAATGCATCAATAAGAACGATGGTTTTTGAGGTTCTAACCAGTCCGTCGCCTCTGTACTTTCCACAACATCTCTTACCAGACACTCATCAAACTAAGAGCTCTACAAAGTTTTATCTAAGTTGCAATACTGAAATCTCAGAATTATGCCGTCTTCAAAGGACCAAGAAACTCAGGCCTCGGGAGACTCTAGCAGGTACGTACTACTTGTTGTAGTTCACCCTAACCCAGAAGCTGACCTAGCTCTAGTAAACAAAACCACCACCGGCACTCTATGCTGCAAGAATTCCTTCGTGCTGAGCCAACTGTGTCCGAACGACTCTCCGGAGTACTCACGTCCAAGAAAAGGGGGGAGAACGAAAAAGGACACGATGATAAGGCCAAGGAAGCGATTAGGAAGTTCGAGAATGCCTGGCGCAACGCGAGCCAATGATTCACCGTTCCAGTTGCTAAAGGATGCTTGATATGGGGTGGAAGTTCACTTCCAGTAGACTTAAGGCGAGGCTAGGCGGAGAAGCGTTGAAGTTATTCTGAGCAATTCATGCTCGAGTTCTACCTTGGGCTAATACAGTTTCTTTGGCAATATATGTAAACTGTTAGGGATAACTGCAAGGCTCATATACGGAGCAGATTTATACACTCTTTCAGGGGCTAGCTTATAGCTAACCTCCTAAATGATCAATCATTATTACTATGATACTTATAGATATCAACGCCTGTTTGGTAATACTAACGCAGCGAGGGTGCTCTGGCGATTCCGCTAGTTGCTATCGGAAGGAGTGAAGTACTCTCTATCTTAGCAAATCTGACCAAAGCTATGTGAGAGTTTGGATAAAAGCGATATTGTTAGGTTTGGCAAGATGAATATCTACAAAACCCCTTCCGACCCCCTAGTGGTATTAGTGATGAATGCGACGGTTAGAGTTCTGATATGGGTGCATCTAAACCCGTAGAAGAATAACTACGTGAGTGATAGAAAAAGGAGAGGCGGGTAATTAAATTACCTAAATATATGTAAAAGAAAGTGTGATTCAAGTGAATACATGTAAGTCATAATATATTATTAATAGTATTTGACGTCGCGTTTCTCAAAGGCCGGAATAATTATCTTCAGCTGCGCATACTTTGTTCTAATGGATGTCCTCAGGTGCGAGATGGCTACCTACATTTATATACACTCCACTTATATTCTCAAATCGAGACTCTAAAAAGGCCCAGTCAATCAGATTTAGAAGAACACTGTACACGTAGCTATCTATTGGTCTTCAATTTCTCGTAAACGCTAAGAATACCCAATGATATTTTAGGGTTGATTTATAAGGCATACGACGGTTTATACCCCTTTTAGGAGGAAAGCCACCAATGAACTACCTATAATCCTCGTCGATGTAGATACATTACGGGCCTAGCTGATAAGTTTGCATATACCAATGCACCTTGTTTCTTACGAATTACGTGAGAAAAGCATCAGAAATTCCGACCTTCGTACTTCATACTTCATATTTCTCACCGCTCTCGAGCTGCCCTAGTGCAACAACTTAGATTTTTTATTCAACACCAAAAACCTCAGTTCCCCTTTGGTGCGGATATTTCTTCGCTCCCAGAACGGACTTCTCCATCTGCCTAGCAAGATGGCAGGACAAGCGCTGCGTGAGCAGCTTGCAGGAGTAAGTTATCCGCCAGTGGCGCCCAACTGGGGCGCCGACTATTGTACCAACCATTATGACACGTACGACTACATTGACCCTGTTAAAAGGTCCAATTGCACTGGAAAGGCCATTTTGGTGACTGGGGGAAACAAGGGGATTGGAAAAGGTATCGCTTTATCGTATGCCAGAGCAGGTGCATCGCACATCGCCATCACTTCTCGCTCAGACGTCCCGGAAGTTGTAGGAGAGATCGAGAAAAGCGCGGCGGATGCCGGACGGGCGAAACCGGTAGTAATCGTGCTGCGGTTAGATGTCACGGATTCGACGAGTGTGACTAACGCTGCTCACGTCTTAGAGGGGCAATGGGGCCGACTCGACATCCTAATTGGCAACGCAGGATATCTGTCCAAGTACGACAAGATATTAGACGGAGACGAGGAAGGATGGTGGCGGAACTTCGAAGTTAACGTTCGCGGAAGCTACCTCGTTGCAAAGGCTTTTCTACCCCTGATGCTAAGGGGTGGGGACAAGACTATTATTAACATGTCTTCAACTGGAGTCCATCATTTCCATACAGGCGGAAGTGGCTATCAGCTCAGCAAGTTTGCTCTTCTGAGGCTTACCGAGTATCTCATGGCGGAGTACGCAGATCAAGTAAGCTAGGCCATGCGTTTCCCTTAAAATCAATACCTGTTATATGGTCTTCTGACATTACCATAGGGCCTCCTTACTTATTCAATACATCCAGGAGGGTACGTAAAGAGTGCTCCCACTAACCATCTAGTTGTAGGTTGACTGACTGTTCGCATAAATAGAGTCGCTACGGATCTGACTCGGGGGTTACCAGAAGCAACACAAGGTACGTCGTCTTCCATAATAGTCAAATATCTCTGCTGAATCTAAGAAAAATAAGCTTGGCTTAAATGCACACCCGCCCTAAGTGGTGATACGATAACCTTCTTAACGAGCCGGAGACAAGACTGGTTGGCAGGTAGATATCTTAGTGTGATGTGGGACATGGCCGAATTCTTCTCCAAGAAGGACGAGATCATCACAAAAGATGCTTTGAAGATGAGGATGACTTTCTAAATTGAAGGCTTGTGGTTCAGCATCCGCGTAGACCCGGGGCTGTTAAACCCCTATATCTCATAGCGCATGTTGTCGGTCGTCAACGTACCGATAATAATCCATTCATACAGAAGGACCACGAAAAATTAGAAACGAATAGAACAGCGGAATTACTTGGATAGAATATTAGATTACCATCAATAGAAGGGGAAATTAACATACGATGAGTCGTAATCGCCACGAATAATTACAAATCAACACCTAGTGACGTGGGAAAAGGGCGAGGGTCGACGGAGACATGCCATTCTCTTCGCTATTTAGTCTTCAGCCTATACCGTGTTTATATCGCCAGTGGCTGCGTCATCGGGACATGTCATTGGTGCATTGGGATCCTTCTCCGACCACCTTCGGAGCTTCGTAAGCTTAGCGGCGGGAGCGCACCGAAGCTCAACCTCCGTGCTTGGCCGGCGTTGTGAATGATTAGCAACCACCCAAGAAATTTTTTATTATAAATACATCCCAAAGCGCTCAGAGACTTCTATATTCTCTGTGTACAACTAATTCATCGATAAATCATGCCCCCAATGGCTTTCTTACAATCAGCTTTGTCCCCGGCCAGCGTCTTGGCACCCATCCACCTCCTATCTTACTCCATGCTCCTCGGCATGGAACTATACCAGTCATTTGTCATGACAAAAGTATGCTACCAAGAGTTACCCCGATCCGCCTTCACCACGCTTCAAAAGCGCATCTTCCCCCTTTACTTCCGGGGACAGACCCTGCTTCTCCTATTGACAGCAGCGACGGTACCCCCGTACGGGCTATTAACGCTGCAGTCGAGCAAGGGCAATTGGATACCATTCGCGATTGCGGGAGTCACGGCGCTTTTAAACATAATGCTTTATGGGCCTCGGACGCGACAGATTATGATTGATCGGATTCATCAAGGTATGCGATTATTGAGAGCTACATGGAAATTACTAACCAAGACACAGAAACGCGGGATGGGAGGAAATCAAATGATCCAACCGAGGTTAGCGACGATATGAGAGCGTTAAATAAGACGTTTTCGCGCAATCATGCGATGAGCATTCATCTGAATATTATTACTATAGGGGCCACTCTCTGGTGGGGTGTAAAACTGGCCTTGCGATTAGACATGTAGCTTTAAGAGAGTGTACAAGTCGAATGTTAGTATATCGTGTCAAATGGGATGTATTGGTAATAAGACATAGCTTATGTATCTCTCTTCATATAGTAATGAGGTATGAAGAGGAAAGGCTATCAAGTGTCGAGAGGATTAGGGGGTTACCTTGGACTAGGCTTTCTAAATTTACAGCAACAATTGATGTGCTCCCTAACATTACCTCCTCCACCAAAGATGTCGCGCAAATTTCATTATCCTCACCTATTACAGCTCGAGGACTAGCTTAGTGCCGCTAACTCCCGCTTTCAAAATGTCAAGACCCTTGTTAATACCATGCAGACCTCCCTCGACTACTTGGATCTTAGGACTCGGGACAATTTCGCGCTTCTCCAGCCTCTCCTTCAACCAGGTATTAAACCAGAACGAGAACTGCTCATGTCGCACCTTATCGTCAAGCGAAGCAGCAACGAACTTAGTCTCGACGTCCTTCGTGGTAGGTTCGTCTGGGTTCAGACGAGGTGCAGAGGCCAGATGAGCTGGACCGCTTCCCTTCAACGCCTTCAGGATGGTATGACAGGATTGTATAGCGCCCACGGCGTCGTAGCCGTACTGGAATGTGAGGCCGTCTTCCTTGGCTGCCTTGATTATGGCGTCTTCTACGTCGGGGTCTTTGTAGTCGAAGACTTTGGACGCGCCTAGCGATTTGATGTATGCGTGGTGCTTTGAGCTCGCGGTGGCGTACACGGTGAAGCCGAGTAACTTGGCACTTTGCACTACTACGCTACCAACACTGGACTATAGCATTTGATGTTACTTAGTATTTTCACTGGCTCGACATTTTAGAGGATGGTTAGGGGTCGTATGATGTATCTTGAAAGTCTTCACCCCAAGGTAAAGGGACTCGGAGATCTACTTACAGCAGCGCCCCAGACCAGGAGTCCTTGCTTGTCGCTAGGCGAATAGGAGGTATTGCGAGATATACCAATGGTTTCCCATCCAGACCATGTTGTAGCGACAGCCATAGGAAGGATAGCAGCTTCGTTGAACGAAAGGTAGTCAGGAATTGGAGTGGCGTTTTTCGCAGGGATAATAGGCCGCTGTTGAAAGGCCCCGTAGTCAGAAGCTCCCTGAGCGAAGAAGGTCGACGCAAAAGCCGTGACACGAGTTCCGGGTTTGAAGGTGGAAGATACGTTGGAACCAGCTTCGAGGACTACGCCGCCAATGTCCGAACCAATGACGACGGGATACTTGGTGATGAAGAAACCTAAGTCGCGCATCTTCCAGTCGATGGGATTCAGGGCGATCGCCTTCACGTCGACGAGAAGCTCATCAGGCCCGGGTTTGGGCGTCTGCTTCTCTCGGACTTCGAGCGGCTGGCCCTTTCCGGTAACGAAAGCTGCGAGGTGTGTTGCCATTATGAGTGTATATTTCCCTAGGTGGGTATTGTATAGGTATGCGGTGTTATCGATTCGTAGGTAGAGTTGAAAGGAAGAGGGAGACAGGCTTGTTAGTGTCTACGGGAAGGCAAAGACGAAGAGACAACGGTTTATATTGACCACGCCGGCAGTAACTATCCTAGAGATTTGATATATATATCCTCCTCTTTTATACTTTTAGTTATAGGTAACGATGGTTAATAGTCATAGTTTGCATTCTTCATTCGTTCGGACTATCGTCATCGTCTCGGTTCGGGATTAATTACCTCGGATTTAAACGACTGCCGAGTTAGGAAGTAATATAGTGAAGCTCGCGAACGATTACCAAGCAGCACAAGTATGGGATTAGAAAAGCCATCATAAACTCCGATTGGCTTAGAATTATGTTAACTCCGGTACCTTGCTCCTAGTCACACCCATTCGTACGGGAGCCAACATTGTACACGAAGATTATGCAAACATTAAGTCAATTATATCCAATACTGCGCACTATTAACATGCCCATCATGGCCTATAAAATTGCGGTTCAGGAGTCTACGTTAGATATATGTACAGACAAATCTTGGTACAGTCGAAGGTGCCCTATCAATCCTTTATCCGGTATCTCCCAACTCCTAAGTAAATTGCTAACAGGCGCAGCCTTTCGTCATCACCTCTGAGCTCATAGAGAAATAACCATCACTGCGCTACATGCTCCGTCTACGCACGGAAGATAGTTCTGCGTCGGTTGCCGAAGCCGCCGAAGCCATTGTTGCCTCGGCCGTTTCCGCCGTTACCAGCATTAGCATTGTTGGTACCAGCGTTGGCGTTGTTGGTACCGGCATTAGCATTAGCATTGGCATTGCCGTTGTTTCCTTTGTTACCACGTCCATTGCCGTTGCGTCCGCTTCCGCTGGTGGCAGTAGCACTCGCAGCGGCACTGGTAGTAGTAGCTCCAGCATTAGCTGTGGCCGTGGCCTTGGCTTGTCCCGTGACAATATCGAGGGACTGGAGAGAAGCGGGCAAGCTGGTAACAGTCTGTTTCAGAAGCGAGCTAACAGCAGCCGCGTTCTTCAAACCCTGATCGCTGCCTGCGTTTTGAATAGCGGCGATGGCAGCGGGAAGGTCAGCCTGATCCTGGGAAACCTGCTTGAAGACCTTCTCAAGAGTCAGCGCCGTAGGAACCTTGGCGGCGGTGTTCTGGCTGGGCTCCACGTCGACCTGTTGAACGGGGAAGCATCCACCGAAAGGACCAGCGAGAGCGTTGTTTCGGCAACGGACGGTGCAGACGTTACCAGCGGAAGCTATAGAACAGTTGTTAGGATACGGGAGTTTCTAGTAAATTTGTAGGCATAAACTTACATCCGGTGCAAGAGAACTTCTCAGGCATGTTCACGAGGATCTCGAAATCCTGAGTCTTGGCCTGGGAGAAACCGTTGACACCGGGAACGTTGTTCTCAACTGTCAGGTTCTGAGTGATGAGACCATTGTTGCCAGCCTCGACCTATTATACGGGTTAGATCAAGATCAGGATGCTACAATGTGATTGATAAGGGACGTACCAGGTCGCAGGCGTAAGGACCAGCACCATCAGCGTTAACTTGGTGGATGGTAACCTTGACTTGCGTTCCAGCCTTGACTTGGGTAACGGCGCCAGCAGCAAGCGCGTTCTCCGTGTTCTCTCCGATATCGATGTTACCCGATATTTCTGTTCGTCCGCACTCGTTCACTACGTTGGCGGCGATCTCGGCATCTCGGATAATTGTAGTATCCTGTTGGCACGGGCTGATAGATGTACAATTCCTCGCTAGTTCGGGTTCGACCTTGAAACCGACACTTTCAGGCGAGCCCTGAATACCCTGTGCCCCTAAGATAACACCGTGAGCCTGGGCAACAGCCAACAGGGACGCAAGAGAAAAGATGGTTGATGAAATGGACGGCATCTTGAAATAGGAGGATATAGACAGCACCGGGCCGATAAGTGAATGATAAGGCACAATAAAGAGTGAATTAAGAATAAAACAGATCCACGGGATCGTCAGCTGCGAATAGAATAACGTAGGTAGAAAGGGAAACCGGCCTGCTCAAGAACATGGAAGACGACGATCTGTGGTGAGCGGTGCTGGCATATATACATGATAAGCAATGGAGATCTTGTTCGATCTACGCAGCCTGGCCATTGCACACGAGCTGAGCTAGCCCCGAATTGTCTGCCGAGTACTTCGTACGGAAACCCCTAGACAACCAGCGCGAACCGATATCCAACACGATTTGTGTCAAGCATGTGGGTTTCAAGCAGCTAAAGGAGCCTCCCTTGGACATGGATCCTCTCTTTGCTAGGGCAAGCCTTTGCCGTGTTGGGTACGTACCGTGGTAAAGTGACGGCGGAGAACCGTTTCGAGTTTACCTCATCTCGCGAGCGGGCATGTTAAGTGACCCCCAAGCTTAAAGCGCGCCAGTAGAATATTCGTGATGTCCTTGGTTGCCCTGGGAGAAACGTCTCGACAGGGTATGGTAAAGGAGGCGTCTTGTGTCCAGGGTTTACCCCAAGAACCATGAACGCCAAAATGCTTATTATTCGAGCTAAGGCCTGAAAATAATTCCAAAAACGTCAAAGTGGAGATATATGTACATGTTCGCGAATCCCTGTTGCGCTTGGTGCTGCATTTTACGCAGTAAGGCAGTGGATGTCTCGCAAGTAGCGAATAGGAATGAATAGCTAATACGGACGATAAAGCCTTATGAAGATGGGAAATCCACATCGAATTTTAAAGCGAAATGAGTCGCTGCGCAAATATTATTCATATAACATATGAATTATGAAACTACGGTGTAAGAAGTAGGGGGTAAGTTACATAGCACACTAGTTATTGCTATAACTTCTAAGCAAGTACTAGCGATATATGACGCGCCGCCTAAAGGAACATTTAAGATGGGCAATTCGGCTCGAGCCGATAGTGGCTGAAGTGGCGTATATGGCCTTCCACGAGGGTTGTGAATATGAGGCGCTCATACTCCAGATGCACCTAAAAGCACTGATCGCTTACGATCTGCCGGCTAGTACTAAGCCTTCCATGTTTCGACCCTTGTGCCAGATCTCGGGCCAAGACGTTTCTAATGTGGGTATTTGCGGTAATTAAAGCATTGTCCTACGTATCTACTGGAGGAAATATCAGCTACGAGGAAACCCCTTGGCACATTTTATGCTCAAGGGTATCAGACGGTGGTGGTGTGGTTCTCCCGTAGCGTCCGTTTCAAGCTGTCGGCGCACCAATGATAGATGAGAATAACGACTGAGTGCCAACCCTACCCTGCAGATATGAAGCAAGGATACAAACGGGGAGCTGGGGTAGGGGTACCCTTCGCACGGCGCGATACCCCCTAAAGATGTTCTAGCAAAGTTCGTAGGCAATTATACTATGTACAATGGGGATAATAATTAGCTACTCGGTTTTAAGATCTATATTATCGCACTCGTTACTCATTACGGTGTAGACGCGTGTAAAATTTAGCCGTATAGCCGTACCTAATGCGGTTCGAATCTACCATGAAATATTCTACATAGTAACTCCAGGTCTACCTAGAAGGGGTTAAGAAAGGGTCTAGTTCAGGGGCCGCTACACAGACCCCCAGCACGCTTCATCAATGCCAAGGAACAATCGAGACTCATCTGAAAGAGAAGATTTTCGCAATGCGAATGCGTTGTCAGACTAACCTATTAATCTCATCACACTCAAACATTATACAAAACCCTTATGCTCTGCATTTGTTTGTCATCAACGCATCAGCATAGTCATAGCAGCGACCAGGACTAAGTCAAAACATCGGATCGCCTAGTTTAAAAGACCAGGGAGCAAAACGTCATAGTTGACACGGGATTTTCACCGCCACCGTTGTCTACATACTTGTTGAGTCCATGCCCAGGAGTTTTAGCTATAGCTCTGCTTCCATCACGGAACGTCTTCTAGTTTACGGATTCATAAAAAGGGCAAGACCGATTTTCGGCGACCTTTTCAGGGGAGTAAATATGTAAATAGTAAATAGGATGCGATTGCGAGGTATCGTGCGAAGCCTCCCCCATTCAGCGGCACGGAAGGCCAAGCTTTTTATTTAGGCACAACACTCTTCCTCCGTCAGTGAAGAATTGCAACATGCGAGTTCAAAATCAGCATTTCGGCGTTTAAAAACGTCGTAACAGTACACTACAAGTGAAAAAGAGGAGTCAGATAAGCGTATAAACTCAACTCGATGATTTGCATTGATAGTCGCTGGCGCTCTGTAGTACGTAAACCAAGTCTTCTTTCTATAGTTCGAATAAGCTCGCAACATTGCACGCAAAATGCTGCTTACTATGACGACCCCCCTGGATTCTTCCTCCCTAACCCATGAACATGGGATATAGGGGATTGGAGCGAAAATACGAGAATATCCTTGAGGAGCTCAAGAATATAGTGTCCCTACGACCTTAATGTCGTGAAAATTTGGGTATTGAGATCCTATAAGCTTTTTTAAGCACTCGTCTCGACTCGCTTTCGTTCTCGACTCTACTGGTCTCAAAATGTCTCACAATACCTTCTTTTTCTGGGGTCGGCTAAAAAAAACATACTCTTAGATCACGGCGCATAATACTAAGAAAAGCGCGAACATGGGGTATTATAGTTCCTAGCAACATGAATGGACAGAATCCGATATCCTGCACTTTCAAGATTAAGAGATGATAATCCGAAGTCCTACTAACTAAATCGTCCGATCAAGTCGTAACCAGTGCACCAATGGGATTGCGTTTCATCAATCCCGGTTGACGACAAGTAGACAACCTCTATCACACTTTGTGGTTTCAGTTTCACTTTTCATCTTTCGAGATGACGTAGCAACTCAGACAAATGTCGATGACAGCATCATCGATCTTATCACACTGCAACACAGGACGCGTACGCCGCTTAAGTATATAAGAAGACTCTTTCCGCGTCATCGGTCGTAGTCGAGGATGGTTAATACACACGTATGGTACTTCAGACGAACTTCTGACACCGAAGGTAAGAGACAATTCTAGACATACTAGGGTGACATGCCGTGTTTATTCTAACAGTAAAAGCCGGCCATATAAATTAGCAATGAAATTTATTGCGCAGTAAATGGAATGGGGATTGATATGAAGTAGCTATAACTCAAGATACTAACATTAGTTAGTCAATACTAACTCAACATAAGCTCTACTCCCGACTATAGGAATGTCAACATGTCAACAAAAAGACCGAGCACATTATAAAAATATTATAACATGACAGCTTTGAGACATAGTCCTTCCTTTCTACTACAGTAAGATGTAATGAGGATCAAGTTATTTCACAAGTTCTTTAGGTATTACTCATGGGAAACTTCGAAGTCGTTTCAAGTCTGACATGAACCAGTCGCAACTGGGAGACTCGATGAACACAGTGGCGTGAAGCTTGGCAATACGCAAAAGTTTTATTATGTGTGGTGTAGTTACTATTAAATATCACGGGCTCAAACGATATAAGATAGGTGTATATTGTAGTCAATTAACATATCTCGGCTAGATATAATTAGGTATATCAGATGCAAGCCGCTTTATGTCATTATGCAATCACCCTGACTTCATATTAATGAGTTCCTAGTCTGGAGACTTGAATGTTAAAATGTAACCTTTTAGATGGGTGAGAACTATCGGAATCTAGACTTTATTAAAACATCTCACCTCGTCTCGATGCCCGTTCTACTATAATACATTACAAGAGCATCGAGTCGTTGCCATGGCCCCTCAACCATATTTAGATCACATTACTAAGGCCCAGGTGGCATTACTCAGAGTTGAATGCAATAAATCGCTTAACTCCATTGATGTTTTCCCTCACATGATTTGACGCTGACCCTCATATAAGCATCTCGGCCGAGGTGGGAATTAGTAGTTACCTGTCAAATTTATTGGCCGTACTCTACGATATATTAGAAGCTAGTAACGACATTTCACAGCTGAATTGTGTAAGCTGTCCAGAAGTGTATTTTCTTGACAGTTACGCGGATAACTTCACCTCTTAGGGCTGACACCTGAATGACACATTCAAATACTACCCCTGGGCCATGCCCACATGACAGCTTCTTCCCATACCATGTTGTAAAACTTCCTTCTTATTTAGTCGTCCTATGTAAGACAATTTTACCTAAGTACGGAAAGGCGACCTCACCGTACAAGTGCTACTATTGGCTACTTACCATGCTGACCTCATCAATAAACAGTCAGACTATAGTACGACAGAGTTACGATGAGGCTGGAAATAAACATCTACAAAGCTTCATTCTAGAACATAGAATATGGATCCATGCACGGCGTTACTGAGGGTGGCAGCGAAGCGAGCTGTTCAATGGGATAGCATCCTGTTAGCCAACGGCAATACTAATACCACTACCTAGTCAATACTACCATAAGCTAGTCATCACAGCTTTTCCGCCTCTGTCTCCATGATAGCGCATGATCTCCCATGATGCTACCTTCGCCTGACATCAGAGGCCACCTATGGAGTATTCTGAAGCTCCTAGGTTATGATGGCTTCACGCGGACTATAAAGACGAGCTGAGATGCCAGCATCTTCTATGAGACTCACCACAAACCACCCCGCTTTGAATCAGCCATCAATAGCTTTATAAAGTTACATAGCTCATATATATACTCAAAACTCTAACAATGTCTCCTCCCCCAGCTGAATCCGGCTACAGCCTAATCTGGTCCGACGACTTCTCGGGCGCGGCAGGATCTCTCCCTAACCAAGGAAAATGGAATATCGTCTCCGCCGGCCCTAACCAGGGCAACCAAGAGGTGCAGCACTACACCACGAGCACCGCCAACTCCTCCCTCAGCGGCTCGGGTGCCCTGCACATCACCCCTCGCCACGACAACGGGCAGTGGACTTCTGCCCGTCTCGAGGGCCAGCAGGCCTTCAACTGCCCTGCCGGCCATCGACTTCTGCTACAGGCTGAGCTGCGCAGCGGAACGTTCCCGGCGAACCAGCAGTCGGGAATATGGCCGGCGTTTTGGGCTCTTGGAAATGATATTCGCAACGGGAAGGGTGTTCAATGGCCGCAGTGCGGTGAATGGGATAGTAAGTGCATGAGTTCTTTTGCCAGACAGTGACATAAAAGTTAGATAGAGGAGGTGATAGGAGATATCGTAAGCGAGTCCTCAACTAACTAACTATCCTCCCAGTCTTCGAAAACGCCCACGGCAACGACTGGTCCCTCGCAACCCTCCACTACGGACGGGGCGGTTCAGACCACCTGAGCAAGGGCAGCAGCCAGGAGCACTTCCAAGTCGAGTCGTTCCACACGTGGGCCATCAAGGTCAACCGCGGGCCGAGCAACTGGCAGGACGAGACCCTGGAATGGTATCTCGACGGAAACAAGTTCTTCCAGATCAAGGGGAGCGATGTAGGGGATGGCGAGCTGTGGGGACGGGTCGCTCACAAGAGCTTCTTCCCTATCCTCAACGTTGCTGTTGGCAGCAACTTCCCTGGTAAGTAGTTGCGAAGAATCTACCGACGACTCTTTATGATTTCATGGAGTGCTAATACCGATATAGGAGGTGGCCAGCCCGATGGCAGCACTACCACTGGTCTTGGCAGTGGCTTGCAGGTCAAGTATGTTGCCGCCTACAGGAGCAACTAAAGCCAACTCATGTCGACATAAGATATCCGCATTGGAAATTCCTTACTGTGGGTGCTGCTTCGTAATGGGATCGGGTTGCGCACTTTTGGATAAGCTGTACAGGGGGTCCTATAGATCATTTTATTTACTATCATTCTTGTCATCTATCATTCTTGTCATATTATGAAATATACATCTCCCATAACTGCTATATAACTCATCTAACTACCTATATATATTATATTCTTAACCCTTGGTTTCAAAGAACGAGTTTGTAATTTCGAAAACCCGACTATTCCCTTGGTGACTTTTTTAGCAAGGCAAGATACAACCCATTCACTGAACTCCTTCCGTGTCGGCAATCCGGAAGACGTATTTAATTCCATTTGCTTTGCCGGCCTTCAAATTATCCAATGCCTCTTGAATGCCCCCAAGTCCACCTGGCACGACTACCTGCGGCTGTGCCTTGAACCAGCCCTCCTGTAGCCCTCTCCCGAAGTACCGGAAGTACACATAGCCAAAGTCCTTATCCTCAGCATGCACCGAGCCCACAAGGGTAACGGAATGCGACACATGGGCTGGGTATTCGAAGTTCTGTGGAGATAGCACACTCGTTACCTTAGAGCCCTCGGCCACGACCTTGCTTATATTGACGTAGCTATTGTGCTCCGATGTCGCATCCAATGCGTACAGGAGCTTGGAATCACCGACTGCTTTCTTCAGTGCTTCGACGACGGCATCATCTCCGTCACGGTAGTCGATGATGACGTCTCCTTTGCTACGGTCGATCAAAGTCTCCACATAGGCCTGAGATTTCCCAGCAACGCAGATGAGAGGGTGAATGTTACTCTTCCGAGCGAGCTGGACGGCGTAAGCACCAACAGAGGAAGCCGCTCCATAGATTAAAAGGGGTATGGGTTCGACTGCCGGTGTCCACGGCTGCGGAAGACCAAGTTTGGCATAGAGCCCGATCGCTGCTGTCATTGCCGCTAACGGGACTGCAGCGGCCTCTAGCAAGTTAAGTCCGTTAGTATATCACAGGTATGGAATCCTCACGCTCACGGCTAATGCATACCTTCGAATGTGGTCTTCTGCGAAATATGGAAAGTGGTGTGCTGAGGTGAGATTGCATATTCGGCGAAAGACCCATGAGGGACTAGGAATTGATGGAATCCGGCGACACGGTCGCCAGGTTTGAACTCGGTGACATTAGAACCAACTTCTTGAACTATACCACCAATGTCGTCGCCCTGGTTTATGGTGATATTACGCCAATCCGGTACCTTCCAATCCTTAGGATTGGACCCGCTCACGACGACCTTAATAAGGACTTCGTCGGCTCCGGGCTTTGGGATAGGCGAGTCGATGATCTGGACCTTAGGGCCTAGACGATGTTTAGCCCTGCTTGAGTGTCATGGCTATCCGATTCTCACCTGGCGCTATAAGGGCTTCCTTCATTGTTAATGTTGGTATTCTGGTGCGTTTAGTTTGTATATGGAACAGATATGATAATGTTGTCGCTGTCGTTCTAATGACTGGGACTCCCGTTGAAATAAGTATCTACTATCCACACCCGAACGGCGGGGTTCCTAGCGTAATAAATAAATATATATAAAAAGGCCCGTTGATCCGGATAATCTTCATAAGCTATCGGTCCATTTGGTTCTGGATTTTTCGATAGTGACCCAGCTTACAGGCGGGGATGAAGATTGGAGTTCAGATGACTCTATCAAAAAGCATATGGATTATCAATCGAGCTTCTAATTACGTCATTGCCGCTGTAACTTCAGCGTTAGAGAACCTTCTGGTTTGTAATAACTAGCCAAGTTCTTAATAAAGATTGGTAGTTTCTACTGCTTCTATACTTGAATATGTGTAGACCTCCGGGCTACCTTAGGTTAGGTACCTACGCAAACAAGACGAGAGTTGTATTAGCCAGTTGAATTCGAATGTGGTAGCTTACGAGGATGTGAGTCTAAAACCTATACATATCCCCGTATTAACTAACGCTATTCGGAAGGGAGCTTAGAGCTACTTGGTTGGCCAAACCTCCAAAGCGTCTTTAGTGTAGAGCTATACACACAAAGGTATGCGCAACCCATACGAAAATTACATTTTAGATAATACTATAGACTATAGTAGGTGCCTTACTCAAGGCAGATGCCTTAAAGATGTTTAGGAGGCGGACTTTGAAGGATAAAGATCGTGCTTCATCATTCATGACGTGCGCAGCCAAGTAAATTAGCATCATGACAGGGGTGATCCACAAGCTTCAATGTAACCACATATATGATATAAACAATCAGGTGAAGGGATCAGCTAAGTTGAAGAAACATCCATCATTCAACATTCACCATGTCGAGCTCACTATTGACTTTATTGCAGCAATTCTACCCTCCCGCGCCAACCTTCACTGAGAAGAACGTCGTGGCCGGGAGTCAAGTAGGCAAGGTATTCATCATCACCGGCGCCAATTCTGGTATATCATAGAGATGAGAGGGTAGTTGATGTCTAAGACCAGATGTGCTAACTTCCATCTAGGTATCGGTTTGGATCTGGTGAAATTCCTCTATCCCACCGGCGCCACAATATATCTCGCCAGCCGCTCACTTGAAAAGATTCACAATGCCATTACGCAAGTATCTTCCGTCTCCCCCGCACCAGCAACCCCTGCAACGCTCAAGCCTCTCCACCTGGACCTATCAGACCTCACCACCATCAAGCCCTCCGCCGCGTCCTTTGCGGCTCAGGAGTCACGTCTCGACATCCTCTGGCACAACGCCGGCTCCGGCTTTGCACCCGGCAGCGTGACAAAGCAGGACATTGAAGCCCACGCCGGCGCCCACTGTGTCGCTCCACTGCTCTTTACCCAGGAGCTTCTCCCGCAGCTCCAAGCTGCCGCGAAATCCGCGCCCAAGGACAGCGTCCGCGTCATCTGGACCGGCTCCATACTAATCGACCTAAACTCACCACCCGGCGGCGTCGACTTCGCCCGGATCGAAAAGCCGACCACCAACCATGACCAGGACTACGCCATGTCCAAAGTCGGGAACTATTTCTTGGCGGTGGAGGGGGCCAAGCGCTGGGGCAAGTACGGGATTATCAGCGTGTGCGAGAATCCCGGGAATCTGTACACGCCTATCTGGGCGAACGCCAGCTGGTGGTATATAACGTTGCTCCGGATTTTTATCTTGTACCCGTCAAAGTACGGTGCGTACACGATGCTCTATGCCGGGTTCTCGCCGGATGTAAATGAAGATACCAATGGCGCGTATATCTGGCCTTGGGGTAGGGTTCGACCTGTCGGACGAGGTGATGTGTTGCAGGCGGTATCGGATGGTAAAGCGACGGAATTTTGGGAGTGGTGCGAAAGAAAATGGAGGCAACATGTTTGAGAGCTTATAACTCCGGACTTTTTAGCACCAATGACGGACAGTATAAATTGATATAGCAGTACATTTTGTTTATAGTACCTAACACATATATTTAAAACGCTTATATTGAATAGGTACAATGTAGTATTCAGAAGATAAGAGCTTTTGAGTCCTTCGTGACTGATTTGATAATCGTAATACTTTTCTCGAATCCCAGTACAGCATTATAGAATTACACCGGATCTCTTCGTATCTAATTTCAATCTCATTGTCACAACCCCCTTTGACGCAAACCCTACATAATTACGGCTCTTCATTTACCCCCGTATCAGTATCCTCGCCTAGATAGTCTGGGCTTCTCGAAAGTGCGTAGTTTCCTAATCCTCGAAGTAGGCGGGATCGTGCTATTGAATCCACACCCTGCCTCCACGCACGACGAAACAGTATGGATATATCTGATCTTGCCGGATTCGACTCTGAACATATGGCTATCCGGCATTGGCTTCTCGCCTTGCGATCTGTCCAGCCCAGGGAATCCGAGGTAGATGTCAACGACACCTAGGACCTCGTCCACGACGTAGCGGCGGTTGGTGACCACGAGCGTCGACGGCAGGCCTGCGAGCGTGCATGAGTCGCCGGTCATGTTGAGAGGTGCTGTAGATGCGCCTCCTTCGAGTCTGGAGCAGGGAATGCCGAAAGGAACGGTTACGTTCTCGTTCTTGAACCGGTTGAAGTATGCATCGCCAGCGGCTTGGATAACCTCGCGGCTGTCCCGCTTGTCCTCAGGAATAGGATCCCAGTTCTCCTGCGAGTTCCAGTACAAATATCCGGTAGCGTTGAAAACCCAGTCACCGGTATCTGTCACTATCGACTCGATCAACGAGATCTTGCTGTCGTCGTTGAAGAGTATGCGCGTGCCGATGACGTACTGGTGCGGGTTACTCGCGGCGATGATCTCGGTGAAGGTCGCGCAGTTGACGGTGTCGTGGATGCTGCGGTTATGGTCGATCTTGATAGCTTCGGTCAAGACGCCTTCGTTGATGGCTTTGGGAACTTCGTTCTCAGTGTAAGTGACATTGGGTGCCGCTAGTGCCGCCACATCGTCGCTTGACCCGGCAGCTTGAGCTGCGACATACTTGTTAGTGGCTCCTACGAGGAAGTCTCTCGTGCATTCGGCTGAAGCCAATTCAGAGAATAAGAGCCACCCTAGCAGGATGGAGATAGCCATACTCCAAGTACGCGTCTTGTACAATAACTAATTGGTACAAAGGACTATCTAATCCGTTATTAACGACAACGACTCAATATGCCTTCTTCGCGTATCTTGTGAATTGGAAGTGTCTACTGTTATATACCCCCATACAGCCTCTTTTTCATACCTTGCTTCGCGGAGAGCGCTCACCCTTCAGGTAAGACCAAAACAGCCTATTATGCCATGCCTATCCTAAACTCCCCAACCCTGTCGCCACAGCTTTAAAGTCATATAAATTGAACCAATCAGTTACCGTTGACGAAAACTCAAGTCGGTAATAAATATTTATATTACGGTAGTAATCATTGACGCTACATAACCCTCCCCCCTGAGGCTCTAACGGCTGCCGATGGCTATACATATGGCCACCCGATAAATTGCATGCACGCAAATCTCTCGGCAATTAAGAAATCGTAGGGTATATCGTATATGATCTACTCTATTCGGCACCAAGTGAGGAGTTAGACGTGCTTTGTATATAAAAACTGTCTAATGTCTACGTACCTTAGGTATGTTTGTAGTTCTAGATTGAACAGCCCAAGACATAACCGAGTTCCTTGAATCGGATGTTAATAATAGACAATACATTAGACTCGCGCAAACGTTACCTCATAATCCCCAGATCATCATGGTACAGCCAACTTTAGCCCAAGGATAATTGAGAGCAGACTCGCCTCAGCATCAGCGCGTTGGTTCATACTCTACGTCAGATGGTACAAGGAACAGGGCAATAGAATATATTTTTATAAGCTAGTTATAGAAATCAAATGGAAGGCTTTTGGAAGCCTATGCACTTAAACGTCGTTGTCCAGCATTGTCGCTTAGTAGATTCACGAAGTATTGTTGGAGAGGGGATAGAAATGCCAATCAATGCCGGACGCTTTAAAAATCAGTATTTCTATTCCACATTTGCTTATGGATGGACTTTTGAGGATGCTACCCTGGATTATGCATCGAGTAGGACACTAAATAATGTACACCTCCCTCCCCAATCGCTGACCAAATATAGGTCAGACCTAGAGTGATCATCAGACGTCTCGTCAACTTATTCGTACACCCATCACTCATATCTCTTCTTGCCAGATACGTTTCTCTATCAACTCTACGGAATACAGAAGTCGATCCAGCTACCTAAGTAATCTAGCCGATTACGGCTGCTGTCGGCGAATTCGTGCTCTCGATATATCTCCTCGAACTCCTTGTAGTTTAGTCTACCCCAGCCACCCCTTTCCCTTGCCTCCTGTTCAGCAAGGTCAAGGCGCTTCCATGACATCAGTGTGGAATGCGATATGTGGTCCGGGGCGTCGAGATCAATGCTCTTCGATTCGGTAGCCTCCTCATTTTTAGACGGGTCAGAGCCGTTGCTCAGTTTCTTAAATTTAGTGTTGCTTTCCGTCTGAGATGTGAGACGGTTAGGTGATGTTTGCGCTACGCTATTGGGTCGGTTCTGGGGTAGAGTAGGGTCACGGTATTCCGCAGGCTCTGAGGAGTTGAGGTCTTTTGATGGGACATCTATCTCCTCATTGATGGCATTTTCATTGCTGTCCTCATTCTGTATCGCTGCAGCTGCACGCGATCCATCGTTTATATTGGAGTGGCTAGTACTATAGCCACTGGTTGAAAGCAATTCAGCCAAGCTCCGCTGCGAGATTGGAGGGCTCCCTTCCGGGGAATGTACTCGAGGTCCTGCCGGTGACTGATCTCTGGATTCCTCGTCTTCGCTTTCAAGGTCGATCGAGCTTAAGAGCTCCCGATACTTCTCACGTTGTTCTTTAGTTTCCGCCGCCTGGACAGCGAGATCCTCTTTCTTCTTGAAAATCTCGTCTAAGAGCTCGTTGAAAGCTTGTTGCGTGACCTGGTAGAGGATTTCTTTACCAGCATCTCGCTCCGCGTCCGGGATTTCCATTCCTCCCCACCTCTCCGGTACGCTTCGCGAAGAAGTAGACGGGTTGGACCTGGTTTCAAAATCATCCGCATCTTCAGCGAAGCGAACCTTGGAGGACGATCTTGATCGAGGAGAGAGAAAATGGGGTGCTGACTTAGATGACTCGGCGATGCCATTCAAGTTCAACAGTACATCCTGGTTTTCATCCCATCCCTGTGGAGGCGCAGCACCTTCTTCCTCATCTAGATAAAATTGACGTCGTTTCCACCTCTCAAGAAGCTTCTTTCGAGCGAGCAACCTCTTCCGCTTGTCAATACCTGATCGGTGACTATTCGCTACAATTGCTTGATGTTGAACTCTGAGCTGGCTCTCTGTAGGTAACGTATTTGTAAATCTACTAGCATCTGGAATAGCCCGGGTAGTGGTTGGCTCTGGAGCTTCGCTTGGTGGGTTGGGATCAGCAGGTTCACCCTCGTCAGTTTCGTCGGCGCCTTCATTTTCGGGTTCGCTTTGTTTATCCTCATCAGACGAACCGCTCTCGATCTCATCTAGAGAATGTTGTCTTTCCTGATGGATAGACTCCAGAATATCAGTAATATGCGGGTATTCACCGGAGAGCAACGATGCCAGGTCGACTGTAGTATGAGGAGGGTTGATGATCCCGGTCCAGTAACGAGTATCTCCGTCAGGGGATTGCGGTCTCCTAGAGGATCCGAATGATTCCGTGAAGAGGCTCTGGCTAGCGTTTCTAGCAAATAAACTACTTAGGATTTCTTCGCGGCCGCCTGTATCTAGCTTATCCTCGTTGATGACTCCTTTGCCATCGTTGACCTCAACATCTCCGTTTGAACGGAATATTTTACCCTCCATCGGTCTCGAATGATCAGCCGAAGGGACTCTGCCCTCCCGACCAAAGAGACTACTCAAGGGTTGTCTACCATTAATAAGCTGCTGGGCTTCGGTGGTCGTCATCATGTGATCATCAAGGCCGTCAAGAATGTCCTTATGCATCTGCTTGTATAGCACATAATAAGCCCGGAACATACGTAGAAAGTCTCGTCGGTTGACATAGCCGTCACCATCAATATCGTAACCGTCAAATGTTCGTTTAAGCTTGTCCTTCCTCTTCCTGTACGATACGCCATGGAGGAACTCTTCGAATCCAATGAGGTCGTCGTGGTTGGTGTCGTAAAACGCAAACATACGGTCGTGGATAAGGTTAGGTGCAGCGTGCCGATAACCGCCAGATGGAACGAGACACCGTTCAAAAGTCTTGCGATCCATAGCCAAACCGAGCCCATTAGGGTCATCTCTCCACTCGGTATTGGCCATGAAAGTCCACTGTTCCCAGAAAGCATCGAGTTCAACACGTTCGAAGCCAGTATCTTGAGACCACCTGGTCAAGAGATACCGTGGTATACTGCGTATAGCGTTGTCGGGATCACCCGGATACCAGGCCGGTTGTACATGTCGAGTTCCGAAGGGCGGAGCGGGTATTTTGACTTTATAGAAGACGTGCGTCTTGTTGTGCAGACCCTGAGATTCGCATACCTCGCACAAGTCAAAGTCGGCGCAGTTGGCACAGCGATATCGAATCCCGCGTATGGGAACCATGCCGCAACCATTGCACTGACAGCCACGGTGCACATAAGCGTTGCGCCTCGCGTTATCTTCGGACACACGGAATAAGAGCGTAACTATATTCTCGCCGGTCCGCTGACGCGGAGCCTGGTTGCTGTCGTTATACCATTCGGTCGGGTTCTGTTCATCGGTGACGGTGGCATTATCTGGCGGGACTGGAAAGGGTATGTCGATATTACCCGCATCGTCATTTTCGTCGCCGTGCGAATCAGATTCTGAGGAGTCGTCATGGCGATGGGATGCACGGCGAGGTCGTCTCACGGCGTTACGGCGATGCAAACCAGGCCCTGTAGCAGTAATATCGGACTCCGAAGCGTTGTTCTGACTCTGGCGATAGTAGTAGAATCCTAAGGAGGCGGCCGCAATAGCAGAAACCACAGCGATGGTTACTCGTGGGCGCGTCAAGGCCGAAGCCACTGCTGAAGAGGATAAAGATGCCATGGTAAATGGGTGGCGCTCATGGCGAATACAGATGAGGCAAGCGGAATGTAATCAGGCGAAGGAGGATGAAGAAAGTAGTGATAAATAAATCCCGTGCATTGTAAAAGTCGTTGTTGCCATGTAAACGCAACCCTTCCTACGCTAGCTACGACATGACTTCTTCGATGTGCTAAATGGAAATAGCAATATGAAATTTAGCTGAGATCACTTAAGCTAACCCCACAAGCGACCTACCTAACCCTGGGCACCTACCACCAGATCTTGGGTACGTCGTACTTGTACATTAGGTACTTAACCATATGCAGCTGGTGTGGATCCGCTGCTACGCACGGACCAGCCACCAATGAGGCGTTACCGCCCACAGAATGGCTTTAATTATATATATAATTATTCTTATAATTTTTATATAAATTTAATAATTAATAATATTATATAATTTATTTAAATATTATTATTAATTATAATATTATATTTTAAATTTTTATATTTATAAATATAAATATATAAATAATTATTTTTATAAATAAAATATTAATTTACATAAAAATATACGTAAATATTTTAATAAATATTTATATTAAAATAAATAATAATATTAATTATAATATTTAATGGAAAAAATAATAATGGTTTAATTAATAAAACTTTTAAAAGTAAAAATATTTTTATAAATTTTTAAACCGATTATAATTTTAAAATTATAAATGTTTATAAATATATAATAAATATAAGTAAAAAATTTAATAAAAAATTTAAAAATATTAAAATAAAACTTAATATATAAAATATAAATATATAAAAAAATTATAATATAATAATAAAAATATTAAACGTAATAAATAATTTTATAAATAATATTATTTAATAATTATAAATATAATTAATTTTAATTAAATTATTATTATTATTAATAATAAAATTAATATTAATAATATTAATATAAAAATTTATATAAAAAATAAATTTAATTAATTTAATAAATAATAATAAAAAAAGTATTATATATAATAATTAAAAATATAAAGTTAAAATAATATAACTTAAAGTAATATTTTATTAAAAAAGTAAAAATTTTTTAAAATATAAAAATAAAAATAAAATTATTTTACTTTTTAATTTTAAATTTATATAAATAAATAATTAAATATTATATAAATTAAATAAAATTTAAAATTAATTAAAAATAATATTAATACCGTATTATTTATAATTAATAA